GGGCCTTCCTGGAATAATTGCTCGTATTCCTTGTACTCCACCAGTATACTCGTCGGTGAGGATGCCTGGGCTAGGTCATCGAGCTCGGAGGTTGTACATAACTCCTTCCGGCCCTGGGAGGGTTTCTCCCGTTGTCGCGTGTCCGTCCGTTGTTCACACGCGCACTGGCTCATCACAACTTTCTTGTTCCACCAGTCGATCTGGGGGTTGTGTTTCTTGAGCCATGGCACACCAAGGATGCACGCATGGTTGTCCATGTGCACGATGTCAAACTGAATCGTTTCCTTGTGCCCGTGTAGCATGACCATTTCCAATGGGACCGTTTCGTGGGTCACGATTCCTTCATTAGTCGAGATGGGCTCTCCATCTACGACCATTAACGGGTATGGTTCGGTTTTCAATTGCGTCTTGAAACCTTGCGTGTCTGCTACTTTCTTTGTCATAAAGTTGCCCGTCGCTCCTGAGTCAATCATTGCTCGGAGGTGTCGCTGTTGTATCTTAGCGACCACATATAGTTGCATGCTGCCCGTCGTGGCGCATAGCTGGTCTGTACTAGGCCTCTTCGTGTCGCTCGCCGGTGGCCTACCATCGAGGACTCCTAGTTTTTTGACTCGTCCGAGGAAGGATAGTATTCATCCGCTTCCAATGGAGGTCCTGGGGGAGATCGCCTCCCTGTCTCTGCTGTGTCGTTCAGCAGGTGTGGATATCTTTCGTATACCTGTTCGCTTTTGATAGGCAAGTCCCCTTCAGACTGGCTTCGCCTGAGGGCGTGAACTTGCTCTGCGTCTCTGAAGTGTATCCTGGGCGAGGATCGGGGAAACAACTGATTCTGGTGTTTCTTTTTCCAGTGGAGCTTGCAGTCATCTTCGCTGCAATACTCCCAGTAGACATACGCGTGCCAGGGATGATCAGTCTCTGTTGCGTCTGTCATTGATAGTTCCCGCTGTCCTCTCACCCATGCACTATCTTCCCTCGGAGGTGTGGAGAATGTGTCTAGTTGCTCCATGGCTCTCCTTTCGATGTGTGGAGTGGGTCTCGCATTTTCCCGTCGGAGCATATCTCTGGCTTTCTCGTCGTACTTCTCCAGGGCTCTCCTGCGGTCCTGGTAGTAAAATTCGACGCTTTTCATATTCTTCAGTTTAGCCATATGCTCGACATCCTTCTCCAGTTCTTCCGCTTCTTGGGCTTCTAACTTAGTACATCTGGGGACGTGCCAAGCAGCCTGCGGGTATTCGTTAGTTGGTCGTAGTATCTCCAGAGGTCATCCTTGCAGTCGTCCACCTTGCACTCTAACGGAAGTCCTTGTAACAGGTTCCCGTAGAGATATGCTATGTGGTCATATCAGCCCAGTAACTAAGGAGCAATGACGTGTAATAAATCATAGAGGGTTGTAGCAATCGTTGAATAGTATTGCTCTTGTTGTTGGTGTGACAAGCCAAAATATGTATAGTGACTTGTAGGTTTGAGGAGGAGATTTATAAGTTTGCTCTTGAGTTTGATAGCAAACTGAGTGCAACGAATGTCAGTATGACACCTTGGGTGGCTAGATTCTCACATCAGGTGCACCCACCATTACATACACTCCGTTGGCATAAATAGGATTGCCCTTTCCTTAAGAAAGGGCAAGCAGACAATACAGTAAATCAACTAGCACATACTTCTATATCTTTTCCAAGCTTCCAAGCATTGATCTTGTTATTCTTTGTTTCTGAAAAGTCAGTAAGGTGCTAACCTCTGACTTATCCCTGAGTTCTCAGACTCAACATTTGTTACAACTTGTCTAAACCACTTCACTACATCATACACCTGATTGCTGCATTGTGGAATAGTCTAAGCTACGACCCTTTGGCTCTTTTTCCTAAGACAGTGTGTTGTCTTAGTAAAATCATCCCTTCCTTGGGTGGCTAGATTCTCACATCTGGTGCACCCACCATTACAATGCTTATAGATGCTTATAGATGCTTATAGATGCTTATAGATGCTTATATATGCTTATAGATGCTTATAAAGACATATAAAGATATGTAAAAGCTTTTAAGTATGTATATAATAATAATCTCCCTGTTAAATTTTTATTTTTATAACAACAACTTACTATTATTATACAACAACTATTATTATATATATACAACAACTACTATTATACAACAACTACTATTATACAACTATAACTACTGTATTTTTATTTAAAAATGTCTGTATTACATCAAAAGACCCCTGAATTTCAAATTCCAATGGAAAATCAGCCTTATATCTTTAGAGCAAGACTTTTTACTAGAGAGTTAAATCCAATTATTGAAAATCAACCTAGGACACTTACTGTTAAGTGTTCTCAAAAATTCTGCAAGTAAGTATTCTCTTTTTATAGTTTATTAATATTTATTAACTTTTATTAGCCACCTATGGAGAAATCAAAAACTAGGGCAATCTACTAGTAATTATATTGCTCATTATAAAAGCAAGCATAAAGCTATACCTACTAATAAAAAAGATAAAGGAGAATAGAAGAATGTAAGTATTCTTAGTACTCTTAACATATATATTAAATAAATACTAATACTTTATAAGTGGTCCATCCCTAAGTCGCGCACACCCCTAAGTCGCGCACACCCCTAAGTCACATAGCGCATTTCACATCTAAAATCATGGATTTCGCAACTTAATATCTCAACAACCCTTTGATAATAAAATATAAAAATGCATATTTAGCCCTTTATAAGAATTTAAAGTACTCTGTTCAAATTTTAAAGCAATTGGTCTTAGGGTTATTCAGATACTAAGATTTAGTTCAAAAGTGGGAGTCAAATCTCAATATCTCAGTAACTACAATGCCATTTTCTTTAAGATTTAAACAAAGTACTTTAAATGCTTATAAAAGGATAAGAACATATTTTTATAATGTATTATCAAAGGGTTGTGGAGATATTAAGTTGCGAAATCCATGATTTTAGGGGTGTGCGCGACTTGGGGATGGACCACGTTACCTATAGAATAATCATTTCATTTCTTATGCGATTTTAGAACACGTGACTTCTAATCACATGACTTCTACTCATTTAACTCGTGAGTTGAGAACGCAGAACTCAAACTCATGAGTTTGAGTTACTCACCAACTCATGAGTAGGATGAGTTTAATGGGTTTTATTGCTAACCCTGTTTAGAAATAGGAGGCGATATTAGGGCTTTAGCGGCTTTTAACTTCGCTCGTTAAGTATAGGAATTAAGCATCTTTGTATTAACGTTATAAATTCGAGCGGTAGTGATTGGCTTTTCAGAAGGGTTCTCGTAGAGGAATTTGAGGGCTTAGTCTATTGTATAGAGCAAATTATCGCAGGTGCATAGTTGAGAGTGGGAAACGCATATATTTTGGGTGTAAGTCTCTGATTCGGCCATGACGGGATGCAATTTCGCTTTCCGGATGCACTTTCGCTTTCGCCAACCACCAGGTGGTCGGTGCAAACACCGACGATTATAACACCGCGTGGAAGCCGGAGGGGGTTAGTAGTTAAGGGGACTTACAGGATCTGCCCATTTCGCAACAACTTTTTATTTCCCAGACGAGTTGCCGTGTCTATTCCCTTGGTCAGGTCTTCGTCAGCGGCTCGGTTGCGCATACACCCTCGCGGCGGGCGTGGCTGGTGAGGAAGAAGTTTGGCAGGTTGTGGCTAAAGCGGTGCCGCGAGCGAGGAGGGTACTTAGCGCGTAGAAAGGGATATTTCCAGAGGAGGTCCGTCGTAGTCGTACGTATATCGAAAAGTGAGGTGATCTGATCTGGATTACTGAATCAAGAAGCCACAGCCTAGAAAGAGCAGCAAGCCAAGACCGAAGCAACAAGAGACAGCAGGATAAACCGAAGACTGCAGATGGATGTGTAACCCCACATTCATACATAACAGAAGAGTCACAGTGATACAGCTGCCTTGACTGGTGTGCAGTTTAGCAGGTCCGGTATGCATCGTGTGTACAGGTGCTGTACAATACATGTACTGCACTGGAATCTCCGCCCTTTGGCTTGCCCATCCTGCTAGAGTTTGGTAGTAGATGACCCCTGTAGACGCCCTTTCCCATAGCCCAAATGGCGGAGCGAGCTTGTGTGCCTGGTTGTGTGCCTGCGCTGTTGTGGGTTGCGGTGTGAGACGTGATGTCTATCCCCCAGTAGATCAGATCCCCTAGCAGAAAATCCTATTCTATTCTATTCTCTGTTACCTCCGTCACTTCGGTCATCCGCCTCCTCTGTGCGCAGTTCACTCTACCACTGTATGTAGTATCCTTTCTGATTGTACAGGCCAGTCCCCGTCCAGTCCCCGTCGGGGATACTCGCAACGCCGACCGTGTCCCATGCTACAATGGGAAGGGAACGTCGACGGCAACGGGAACGTCGACGGCAACGGCAACGGCAACGTCCCCACGGATGGCTGATCACTATCTACTTACCTATCCACCAGCTACCCACCAGGCTGTCCAATATCCCCAATGGCGTGTCTCTAAAACAGTAAAAACAGGCCAGAAGAAGCTCGCCTGCTACACTCTCTCAGCTATACTGCCACTTCCCACTATTCTCCCACTATGCCACCTTCCATGCCGCTCTCTCGTCCCCGCCCTAACAAATCCGTACCTATTCTTCAAGCCCGAGAACCTATGTATGTCAAGGTACTCCGAGTACTTCAAAGTACGACTGCGGATTTACCTGGTGGGTATGGAAGAGACACCAAGACACCATGCATCTTGCGCACACACACTTGCTAAAACGCCATGGTAAACTACTGCATGGGTCTCCCATGCAACATCCCCCACCCCCTTCCCTAACCCCCTTCCCTAACCCCCCAGTCGCTCCTAACAGCCAATGGCCCACTCACTTCACAGCCTTACAAGTTAAGTTGTATATATATAAATACATTTGGGTACTGTGTGTACTGGAGTAGGCTGCATTGCATATACCTAAGTTACGAACGAAGGAATATATATATTCGTTGCCGTATCACTTCATTCCCGTCTCCATATCTCTCTCCCCATCCTTCAGACGACGCTATGATACGTTGCTGTGTACATCACCACTTGTGATATATTGCTCGCATTCTCATCCTCAACCTGCTTTCCTCTCTCTCCTCTTCTCCTCACCCTCGTCATCAAATATCTTCACCATGTCTCAACAATACTCCTACCACCAAGCACCCGCAGCACCGCACCGCCTGCCCGCCAACCACGGCACCAGCAGCGCCTTCTCCCCCTCCGCCAACCCCGACGAAGACTGGACCCAGATCTCCGACCTCGCTGAGCGTCGCCGCATCCAAAACCGCATCGCCCAACGCAACTACCGTTCGTCCCCCCCATCCCTCTCACCTCCACTCCCACCCTCCTAACACTCACCCCTAGGCAAAAAGCTCAAGCGCCGCCTCGAAGACCTCGAACGCCGCGCCGGTTCCTCCTCCGCCTCCCCCCCACAATCCCACACCGAGCTCAAGCCCTCCAAACCCACCACCACAAACATGCACAAGACGCCCTCCTCATCCTCGTGGAACCGCCCAACCAAGCTCTCACCGCGCGCCACATACCAAAGTTCACACCAATACACCCCCCGGCTCCAACCGGCTGACGATCTCTTCCCCCTCGACCGTGCCGCCTCCCACACCCCCCCTGTCTTCAGCTACGCCCCCTACCCCGCCCCAGACGAGTCCTCCTTCTACCCCTCCTACGCCCGCACCCCATACTCCACAACAGGAGGTTACGAGTACGCGGCGCCACCACGCCCGTCGTTCGAGCCGAAGCGGAATGACGAGGAGCTCAACGCCTTCGGGCGGGACTGGATATCCAGCACGCTTATGACGACCCGCTTGTGAGCCCGCGTCAGCCTGATCTGCGGCTGGGCGCTTGACTGACGACAATTTCAGACGCCGCCGCTTGGGGAGGGGTTTGAGTTTGAGGTTGAGAAGCCTCACACCAACGGCTCCTCTGCCGAGATAACTTGCTGGCTGGCTGGTGGGTGTAACGAACGCACTTTTATGACGAACGGGAATGGGAAATCGGTGTATGCGATTTTATTGACCTCTGGAGCGGTGTTTGGTAGATGGAAACGAGCGTGGGTTATGCAGCGGCTGGTACTGGGAGCATTTCGGGCAACAAACAAACTGTTGGGATAGGGATGGAATACCCACTCGGTGTTTCGGCGCCGAAATTGGCTGCTTTTTTTATTATTTATGGAATATTCTGTCCTACTCTGCTGTTATTTGTTCGTTCTGTGTGTGTGTGTGTGTTTGGGTGGTCTATTGCTCCTTGAGGGAGGGATGGGGGATGGGGGTGTTTAGATTTATGAGGGGATGGATTAGAAGACTGATGGCTATATACCTTATCTCGCTCAGTATGAAGTCGTGATATGTGCACATCGTGACTTCCTCAACAGTAACCCGAGAAACATGATCAAACCACATGCTTTGATCATTCTCTCCTTGAGTTTTCCTCAACACCGCCTGGTAAGCTGACATACTTGTAAATTGCTATTGCACACGACCACAAATTATCCTCGGTTTCCCCGTTGTGTCCAACGCTCGTCGTTATCAGCTCTTCACATGCCAAGTCCGCTCTAACGCTGCAAAGATATCACACTCGACTCTCACATAGCAGCAATATCAGACTCACGAATCATCTGTTATTTGGTGGTAAGAGCTAACAACGAAGGGTGTTATAGCAGCATCTCTTATAGTCCACACGTTTTCAAACCCATCCGTTCACTCCCGATCCAAGCCTTTCCAGTTTCTATATCCTACACGTGTTTACTCTCAACTATGCTGTGTGGTTCTTCGAGCTCAGTGGTCTCCCATACAACTCACATAACACCAGTTGTTCGAAGCCCTCAAAACCACCCAATACTCAACCACTCATCTCAAATTCTAAGCTAGCACACTCACCAACCCACAACCCCTATATTACACCCGCCCCCTCCGCCCGAGCTCAATCCAAGCCACGGCTCCAGAAGAGTGTTTGTTGCTATAAAAGCACGCGGGTGCTTCTGCACCACCGTCATATCAGCTATTTGGCACTAGTATATTCGAGTCCTGGCTTGAGCTTTTGGTAGTGTGTGGAGGGTGGGGGGACAGGTGGTGGTGGAAAGGGGTTGGTGACGGTGAGTGCAACGGTCAAGGTAAGAGTGATGGTATCGGTGACGGGATACTACTCGGTGACGATAGCTCCGATCTACCATACTGCGTACTGCAACTACCGCCTAGTGCTCTAGTCTAGAGGGTTCAATAACCCTCACAACGGGATTTTTCTGTACTGTCCGTACAGTGATATAGGCGCACTATCCGAAATACGACGAAAGATGCAAGGCTCGATATTATAGGATCCTATTCCGTTGAAGCTGCTCTTTAATGACACTGTAAGACCCTTTCCTGGCGTAGGCACAGCGCGATACTAGAGAGGGGTTGTGTTTGTGCTTAGACTTGGTTCAGTCTGATATTACGACTCGCTACGTTTTCAAACGATGAAGTTCTGCTTCTGCTCGTCTCCTTGTCCTGCATAAGATGCAGACTGCCGTCGCGGCTGCAGAGAGAGCTAAAGCTTCGAGTTGCATGGGAATACTCCGAACTCTTCTCGCAACCCTTTCCGACAAATATGAGAAACCAACACCTTACCTCGACCTGACTCCAGAACCCCCTTCAACCCCTTCAACCCCTTCAACCCCTTCAACCCCTTCAACCCCTTCAACCCCTTCAACCCCTTCAACCCCAAACCTACCTCCCTACCCACCTCCCCTATCAGCACCAAACTCACATCCCCATCCCTATCACCAAATCTACTACTAACCCCTCTTCGACCTCATGTCCATCTCATCTGCCGCGCCGCGTAATCCAAACCGCAGTACCCACCCCCAATAACCGAGAAGGATGCGATTCCTTCGCCGAAGGACTCCACCATCCCACACCAACACAACTAAACTAAAGACGATGCAATATGGCGCTGCGCATCCATCAGCCATCCTACGGTATGTATCTATTTGAAAGCGGTCGAGGGATTTGTGACTTCACCCCGGAGTCGACCTAGAGCACTCTTCGCTACAAATAAATCGATCCATCTCCGCTCGATAAACTAGAGAACGCCTCATCAGAGCCTCGCACACCATCCCTCCCCCCACTTTCAACACCCAGCCAGCAAATCCCGATCTCCCCCCCCCTCCATCACCTTCCATCTAGCCCCGCATCACAACCACAAAGCAAGCATCCAGGCAGCACCCGACCCACCGCCGTTCCAAATCCAGCCTCACCCAGGTCTCCACCACCACACTAGGGCATAGCTAAGCATTTATGTCAACACCCGATCAGCTCGGGGCACTAGTTAAGGTGGGCGTCATGTCATGTCAGATCTCAAAATTATGCGTTCATCGGCGGGGGGGGTCCCTGGGATGGGGAGATTGTGGCAAGGAAGGGGACGGGATGGAAACAAGCCGAGGGTTATGGAAGAGATGGATAGGGGGCTAGGGGGTGGAGGTGTAGGAGGGACCCTTCTTTACTCTCAATGGCGGATTTAATGGAATGAGTTGTGTTATTGGTGTAAATGTGGGAGATCACATTTACACAACTTCACGGCATCGGACTTCACAATCGCACAAAAACAACCAACACACAGTGAGTGATATATATTATCCCCTTCCACCCTCCATCTAGGATCCGTATGGAGAGAATATAATCACTACCCAATATCCTCTTCCCGTACCAAACCATACCATATAGTACAGTAGGTATAGCACAGCAAGAAAATCCAACCCCCCCTAATCGAGCACAGCTCAGATGTCCACACCTTTGTCCTCCAACCACCAACTCAGTCAGTCAGTCAAAAAGAAAAAGCTATATAAACCCCAGCCTCAGATCCAGCCAGGCTCTTCCCCTTCCAAACTCCATCCCAATAAGTGGTGATATAACGCCAACCGAGAGTGCCCGCCTCATTATCCATTTTCCCAAAGATGTCGTTTCGTTTCATGCCTCATCATCATACAGATTTAGCAAGCCCCCGAAACGCCCCCATTAAACACCCCAAAAACACCGTCTCCCCCATTAAACACCTTTTGTATACCCACCGACCATTAACTCCATCCCACCATCCATCACGCCATAGGCCACCAAAACTCCAAAAGGGCACATCTCGCAAACCAACTCATCGCCCACTAGATCAAGGATGGGAGGGACCGATTCCCAAGCTGCAGCATCTACTGCATATTATGTTGAGGTCATAGCGAGCTGGTTAGCAGGCAGAATATTAGGCGTCCCAAGCACCTCGTCATCGTGCCCATCGTTGGTCATGGACTTCAAGATGCCCGGCGTGACGACGACGATGGCACGGCAGCTGGAAGGGCCATGGCTTCATTGCCTTGCCAGCCAGAGCCGAAGACGTGTGCCCTGAGGAGCTCGTTCTGTGCCCGCAGGTCTTCGTTCTGCCTGCGAAGATTGTAGATCTCATTGCTCTACTCAGTAACCGTGACGCTCTGAGTTTGCTCAAGCTTGATCATCCGATCTTTGCGGCGTCGACCTTAACGGTGTTAGCTACTATGCAGTCGATATATTTGGGAGGGGGGAGATGGTCTTACGGAACTCTCGCTAGGCGACCCGATTATACTAGAAAGACAGTGAGTATAATAATCATGCCACAACAGATGGAACAAAATACCTCTCTCTTCCTGCGTAGCTTCTTCTCCCCTTCAGTCTCTTCGACACTCGACCTCGCATCCTCACCCACGCTGGCCTCCGGAGTGTCCTCCATGACCCCATCCATATTCATCTCCGGATCCAAGTACGACTCCGAATCAATGGCGGGCTCCGACTTAACGCGCGCGTTACTGCCTGATCGCAACGGCAAGCCGGCGGAGGAACCACTCATAGCGGTCACCTAAATGTGGCACTTCACCTTCGTTCCTTCCCAAATCCCAAAAAGTCCGTTCGATATCAAGCGTTATCAGTTTTAGTCAAAAAATAGCCAAGCCAAGTATCCGTGCGTCTTATCCAGTAAAACCGGTATAAGAAAACGAAAAGGAAGGAAAAGGCACAAGCAGCAATATATCACCACCCGCCTCGCTCCTTCCACACAACAACTCTGAGGAGGCAGGACGAAACCCTCCAGACCCTCCGTGTGCGCCCTCCCTGCCCATTTAAGGTTGCGCCCCTAGCCCTGCCTCGAGCTTCCACAGAGACCCAATCACAACCATGGCATGTCCGTGACTCAGGCCTCAGCCTTCACAGGGTAACAGAGAGAGAGAGCGGAGCCACACTGTGGCCCGGGGGTTGAAACAACCTAAAATCAGCCCTTTTAGCCATGGGAGGACGGCGTGGCCGAGGAGGAGGGGTAGAGGGAAGGGGAGGCGGGTGGAGGGGTTGTGGAAGGTTGAGGGTGAGGGAGGGAGGTATGTGGACTACTGACTGACTGTGCTTGCTTAGGAAGTCAGAGGAGGTGTATAGGTTAGCTGCTGCACGTGTCAGTATATGACCAAGCGTGCGTGCTTGGATTAGTGATGCATCAGTTTACCATGCTTAGACAGCACTTCCTGTCCACCCCTCCTTATCCACCCTAACTGACACCTACCCACTCTATCACTTAGCCGCCTAGGAATCTGTCCACTGCAGCGGAACCGCCTTCATCCGAACTTTCGCATCCCACTCTCAATCCCATCCCATCCGCAATCCCCGAGCTTCCTCCATGCAGACCCCGCCACTGCTGCAGTCAGGCAGTCAGTCTGCCACGAAGAGTCACAAACCGCCAGCATCCCCCTCAGCTCTACACCACGAATCAGCCGTCCTCATCGAACATCTCTTGCATCCCAACACGTTCTCCTCAACCCGCGCCCCCCGCATCATGCCTACTTCAACTTAACTTATATCCCACTTCACATTAACACCTCAATCAACGGTATCTATACCCCCCCAACCGAGAAACTGCCACATACGACCATAGACTCAAGAAACCTGGGCATCCCGTCCGCTCTGCCATACATAAACTTGAGATCGGTGGATTAGTAGTTGGGTGGGTGACCACCAGCGAATACCCACTGTTGTATGTCCCTTCCTTTTTTTTGCCCTTTTGTTTTTGGCCGTCCCCCACCACATTCTATATACGTTTCCCACTCTCAACTATGCACCTCGATAATTTTGCTCTAACGTAAGTGACGGTGTAATGCGGGGGACTGGGTAACGCGGTGGATTTCCCCCACCAACTTCAGATAATTGTAAATAACTCAACAATGAATCGTCGTGAATACCTGGGTATTGCTGAACGTGAGACTTTAATAGCCCAAGCAGTATTAGACGTCAAATCTGGGAAGTATAAGAGCGCATATCACGCTGAGAAAGTGCTAGGGTTACCTAAGAGTTCTGTGACGCGTCGCGCCAATGGAGGTTTTGACACGCTCTCAAGCCCGTCAGCAACAGCAGAGTTTATCAAGCGCGCAAGAGACGATACTTCTGAAGTGGATTAAGAACCTAACAATTAGCGGTTATTCTCCTGGGCATCGGTTGTTAAAGGAAATAGCTGAAGAAATCCAGTCGCACCGATCACTCAATTTTGATGACGCGACACCAAACTCACTTCCACTCCAACCACGGTTTGCCCTTGGTTACCACTGGGTACAGCGATTCATAAAACGGCACCCCCATCTACAGGTTGTCATCAGACGACGGATCGAAACTGTACGCATGGACGGTGCAACAAAACCAGTGCTTACAGCATGGTTTGATGCATACACCGAGGTGGTTCAACAGTTCGGAATCACACAAGAGAACACATATAACATGGATGAATCTGGATTTTCGATTGGGACAATGGAATCTACTCGAATTATACTTGATTCAACGCTTCGTACAAAGCATCAAGCGCATCCTGGCCGTCAGGAATGGGTTACAATGGTCGAGTGCATCTGCGCAGACGGAACCATCCTTCCACCCCTTGGGATCTTTAAGGGCAAGAACGTTCTCCAATCATGGATTCCTCCTACTACGAGTGGTTCTTCTCTGCGAATACAAAAGGCTGGACAAGCAATCTCCACAGGTTAGAGTGGTTAAAACGCATCTTTGAGCCAACAACACGTGCAAAAGCAGATGGTCAGCACCGGCTTCTTATATGCGACGGCCACGACTCACACATTAGTGGGAGTTTCATTGCGCATTGCATGCAGAACCGTATTGTATTACTGATACTTCCCCCTCATACATCGCATTTGCTACAACCGCTAGATGTTGCGATATTCGGCCCACTAAAAAAGCATCTAACGGCAGCGCTCTCCCCACTCAACCAAGCGCAACTTGCGCGCATACAGAAGTATGAATGGATGGAGGCATACATCCAGGCGCGGCTTAATGTATGCAACCATCAGAACATTGAGTCAGCATACCGTGGTGCTGGCTTGTTTCTGTTTAATCCCCAGCGAGCGTTGCATACGCTGCTCAATGATGAGCCATCAGTCTAGGCTGAGCGACCAAAAACACCACATCAGTATGATGTTTTTGACCGAGTCTTTATCAACAGCTCCCCCCCAGATGGGATGACCTTACGCTCTGCAAATGTGCTCCTTACAACTACGATTAATGGTAGTGAGGTGCTGTCAACACCAGTGCGGACGTACATCCAAAAACTCACCGTTGCGTCAGAGCAACTTAGAGCACGTAGCATTGTCCACCAACTCGATGCCAACAACTTGCGATCAGTTATGAAGCGACGTACGGTACGTACAAAGGGGAAAAGGGTTATTCTAAAGGGTCACTTTCATGTTTCTACGCAAGAATTGTGTGATGCAGTGATGGAGGCAGAAAAGGCGACGCATACTGCAAGTAAGAAAAAGCGCAAAACAAAGGACAAGCACGCCTCATCAGACATTGAAATTGATGAGTATATTGAAGAGGATGCAGGGGAACAATCTAAGAGTGACGGTGGATCATGTATCATTGTTAATTGTAGTTAAATTTACAGTTTTGTTAGGTCGTCTTCAGAAATCCACCGCGTTACCCAGTCCCCCGCATTACACCGTCACTTACGTTATACAATGGACCAAGCCCTCAAATTCCTCTGCGGGAACCCTTCTGAAAAGCCAATCACTACTGCTCGAATTTATAACGTTAATACAAAGACGCTTAATTCCTATACTTAACGAGCAAAGTTGAAAGCTGCTAAAGCCCTAATATCGCCTCCTATTTCTAAACATAGAGGACAAAATAAGATACTCATAGAGGTACAAATTAAGGCGATATATAAATATGTCAAAGATTCATATCATGTAGGTTATAGGGCATCTAGTAGAAGTTTTGCCAATTTACTGCCAACCTAGGGATTATGAAATCAAAGATAAACACAAAGGCTAGTGCAAAATACACCCATCGAACTAGGCCCATCTTAGTGCCACAGACTCATCAGTAGATGGTGAAATACTAAAAAGGTGATGTAGGCGACCATTTCATAGCTTCTATATGCATTACAAGGTTGAGCTTTACTTGCCTATGTTAGCTAAGACTCCAACTTTCAGCTCTAACAAACTGCTAACTTTGACATACATGCTTAGAGACTTCATGCTTAGCTTCTTTAGGCCAACTAGCATATTAGTCTGCACTAACGAGAAACCACTAAAGCACTCTATCTTTATAAGCGATGAAGACACTCTAAGTGAGTTGATTACTAGTCTAAGGGTCTCTAGCAATGACGATGACATTGAGGAATCGGCTAGCCTTTGTTACAATGGTCATGGAGGTCATGGTGCTGCTCTAGGTGAAGTAAGCTAGATTGAATCTAAAGAGAGAAGAAGAAGAAGAAGGAAGGAAGGTGAGGCTATTCCTCGTAATATACAGTTGTCCGCTTAGCGGTTGTAGCCTTGGTGGCTAAGGCTGCACCTGTAACAACCATAACAACCGTAACAAGCTGTAAGCTATAATTGTAACAGTCTGATCTATGAAGTTGGTGATGTTCTGTGGTGTTCTGTTAAGCTAACCACCATAGGAGCTAACTTGAGGTTTCTACGTCTATAAGGTCCTAGAATCGACTTTAGGATATGGTTGTAGGGTTTCTAAAGAAGGGAATTCGAATTTCAGTATCAAGGTTCAGGCTTAGAGAGCAAAAGAAAGGTGAGATTCAATCTTATGTTACGATGGTGATGGAGTGTTACGGCTATAGTAACATGATGTCATGGTTATAGGGCCAGGGCCTAGTAACGTGACGTGTGAGTCACATAACGTGACGTGTGAGTCACAGTGGGAAGCGGGGTAGGCTGCCATGTGACGGGGCTAATGGATAGTTGCAGAAACTAGTGGATATTGGATAGTTGAGCTATCCACGAACTATCCTGAATATCTAGCTATCCGCCAACTATCCAGATTACCCATGAGGCACGATGCCACTATATAAGTAGATAGTATTTCCTTAGATAGGAGCTTCGTGCTCAACTCAATACAGTATTTGTTATATACTAGTAACGTGTTACTTGAAGCCTTTGTGTCTGATCCCCTGCCTCCTCTGATAAGTAAACCTTTACGCAAGAGAACCTCTGTGTCTTCTATCGTTTAGAAGTCAGCGTTACATGGAGGTCATGGTGCTAGTCTAGGTGAAGTAAGCTATTGAATCTAAAGAGGGAAGAAGAAGAAAGGAAGGAAGTAAGTAAGGCTATCCCTCATTATATACAGCTGTACGATTAGCGGTTCCCTATAACCTTAGTGGCTACTATGGGTACTTGCTGCCCTAATCGCTAGCAGCTGTATGCTACAATATCAAGTGCACCTTGCAGCTCGAGTGGGGGTTCAGGGGTGTGGGGAGCTTTCTGGGGTTGGAGCGAAGTTTTCAGTTGTGGAGTGAATTCTCAGAACTGGTCTCACTAAAGAGAATTCACTCCACAACAACATAGCTGTATATAGATTGTAAGGATGCCTCCACCCTCAGTGATGGAAGGAATCAGAGTCAGACAGGTTACAGTCACATGGGGATAGTTAGGGCCGGTTAGCTGAGTCGGACCCGTTTCGGGTACTTAAGGAGATTAACCCAACGGGGTGTCATACTGACATTCAGTGCACTCAGTTTGCTATCAAACTCAAGAGCAAACTTAGAAATCTCCTCCTCAAACCTACAAGTCACTATACATATTTTGGCTTGTCACACCAACAACAAGAGCAATACTACTCAACGATTGCTACAACCCTCTATGATTCATTACACATCATTGCTCCTTAGTTACTGGGCCGATATGACCACATAGCATATCTCTACAACCCTCTATGATTCATTACATGACATCACTCCTTAGTTACTGGGCTAATACTACACATGACATATCTCTATCAACTAGAGGCCTAGGAACATGAACGATAGCTCCAAAAAGCTTCTACAACCCTCTATGATTCATTACACATCATTGCTCCTTAGTTACCCACAAGATTGGTTAAGTTATGACATAATCTGTCTATAGGGGTACTCTGACCTTGGACCTCCTTTCACTTCCTATAGGCTAGGAACCTAGGAGATGGTTCTATGGGATTCTCTTACGTCGACTACAGTTACCAAGCCTGGTTAGTCATGGAAAGTCTTGGAAAATGAGAGAACTACACTCCTTTAGTATAAATAGGATTGCCCTTTCCTTAAGAAAGGGCAAGCAGACAATACAGTAAATCGACTATCACATACTTCCACGTCTTTTCCAAGCTTCCAAGCATTGATCTTGTTACTCCTTGTTTCTGAAAAGTCAGTGAGGTGCTAACCTCTGACTTATCCCTGAGTTCTCAGACTCAACATTTGTTACAACTTGTCTAAACCACTCCACTACATCATATACCTGATTGCTGCATTGTGGAATAGTCTAAGCTACGACCCTTTGGCTCTGTTTCCTAAGACAGTGTGTTGTCTTAGTAAAATCATCCCTTCCTTGGGTGGCTAGATTCTCACATCTGGTGCACCCACCATTACACGGGGGTTCCTCTCTTCATCTTTTTTGTATCCTTCGTAGTAGACCTATAGGATAGCATCCGTTTAGCCTCTGACTCGCACTCTCATATGCTATTACTGTGAGCTGGGTGCCCTGTGTCCTTACATAGATCGAGCCACTGCTCGAGTGCTCCTCTTCTCTTTCCTTTCTGATTGAGTTTAATTCATAATACCCAACTGGTGCCCTATGCCTTGGTGAACCGTGACACTGTAAGCAGTGATCGTAACAGCCTTTATACGTCCATTGATGATGATGATTTATTACCTCACTTTAATAACGAAAAATGATTAGAAGATGAAGCAACTTTAGGTAATGAGATAAAAACTTCTAGACAACGCTCCTATAGTCAAGCTCTTTCATTAAAGTTACCCATAAGATTCGCCTAAGGTACCATTAATGAGTAGCGCTCTTATGAAAAACTCCTAAGCAGCCTATGCTCTTAGAGCAGACTCGAATGGGGATCATATCATGACAGCAAAAAGCCAACTTGCTCTAGGAGAGAGTTTAACACGTAATTCTCAGCTTTATAGCAATAGAACGAGTGAGTTATTACTAAGCCGTGAGAGGGCTCGCTCTCCTATCTCACAAGGCGCACTAGATACTCTTGTAGACAACTTTACTAACAGTAATAATCAGCCCTAAGTACGCATGAGAGAATCTAATTAATAACTCTCAGCTTACTCGGGCCATACTGTGGATAGATGGGCTAGGAAAGAGGGATAGGCAGAGACTTGGGTTTAGGAGGAACTAGAAGCAGGGCGCTGTTGTAGAGGCAACATAGTATAGCGTAAGGGGCGTGTTAGAACTGCGTTCCTAGTAGTATGATGCACATGCGTAGCCTGTATACCAACTGTGTATATATAGGGGCCCGTAGTTTCTCAATCAAGTCGTCAAACTCTAATTATGTGTTAACACCATGGCCTGCAGCACTTCAGCTAGGTTGTCGATGAGCTTCTTCATCCTTTCAAGATGCTTCCATTCGGAAAGGTTGTGTAAAGCAGCAGGCAAATGCAGCTGTAAACAGTCGCAAAATCGCCAACAAGCAGTGTATACTAGTTATAAATGATTGGGAGCCTTTAGTTCGTTGAAGTTGTCGTCATAAAGGCCTACCGCCAGCGATAAGGGCCTGGATGCGTTCTTATCGCCAAGGTGGCCCTGCTGAATCAGCCCCGCCCCAAGTTTTGGATCTTTCTGTATGAATGCATAATTGCTAACATCTTCATTGTTACGGACAGGCTCAACTAACACTTTTGGGTAGCAAGTGTATCGACGACTCTGATGGATAGATTATGGCTCGACAGTATCAATGTATGTAAACTATTTTCATAAAATGTCGCTATATTTTGAGGACCAATATATTTCGTGTTTTATAGTCGATTTCTAATTTACTCGAAGTGAAGTGAATATAATCCCCTTACTTGTTGCAAACCGATGGACCAAATCCCATCTCTATTTCCCCTGGAGATGCCAGGACCAGTTATATGCCAGCGTGTGTGTTTGGGTGAGCCCAGCTTCCTGCAGCCAGGTTATTATTCACTCTGGACGACCCAATGCATTTATAAATTTCCAACAAACACATATGGAATGAAACGGTAGGCCACCTACCTGCAATCAAACCTCCTTCTTCTTCAGAAACAACATCTCCCGGTTTCCCTCCTTAATTGGACAGCTGCTACAATGGGCGACAATATCGATCGTTTGCGAGCCCTTCTGGGAGAAGGAGCCCGGGAGGCTCCTGCTTCTCAAGAAGAACCCCATGCCAATTCACCCCAGGACAGCACAGCAATAGACCCAGTGGACTACGCATCAACGGACCCGGAAGATGACGAGAAGATTCTGAGCATCTCGCGTGTACTTGGTGGCGAAATGGACCCCAAGATTATCAGTGGCATGCTATTTCACTTTCACTTGACTTCAAAAACAGTTCGATTAATCTCAAAGCTAACATTTACATCTATTCCGTAGTGCCAGAATCTGAGCCAGAGCTTCCTGCTTATGATTTGGAGACAGGAGAGCTCGCACCAGCTGGACACAACTTCGTGCCTTTGAAAGCTCTGGAAAAGTACCACCATACGTATGTGGAAGGTGCCAATCGATACAAGGTATGGGAGCCCGTTCAAGTTCTATCAGAATAAACTGGACGCTGATTTGAGCTTTTGCAGGTGAATCGTAACTACTTTGACAAACAGAAGTTCTATACACACGAATGGGATTTGTAAGTTGCCGGCGCTGCGAGTCCCCGAAGAATGTTTGCTTTCTCCGAAACAATCCAACTACCACCCAGTTCTGTTTTCAAAGCGGCACTTTCATTTGGACCCGTCTATATCAACCACCTTGAATGTGTCACTGACTGTTCAAGCTTCTACATCTACCCACCACCCGAGTTGTCTCCCAACGCAAGTGTGTTGGTACCATTAGCCCAGGTAGAACATTTCATCTGGATCATAAACAGACACTTGAAAACCCACCTCGGCATACCAATTATGGAGAGAGACCCCGGCTTTATCATCGACTGCCCCGACGATGGAACGCCCCGTCCAAGATACATTGGCCGTTCGAACGACTACGAAACAGCGGTCCTTACCAAGAAGGCCATCCCCTCGAAAGGGTACAGGCCACCAAACGAGCCTGCCTCAAGCACCAAACCATCCGATGAATCCCTGGAGGCTTTCAAAGAAAGGATGGAAGAGATGCTCGAGATGGACAAGAAGAAGAAGCAAGCTCTCAAGTCGAAGAAGCAAGCTGTGCGGTTTGCGAAGCAACAGGGATGGAACCGTGTGACGAAGCGTGTGCAGCGTTACCTTGGTCTCAGAGGCAGGCAGACAGAGGTTGATGAATGGGGCATCAAAGTTTCAGCTCCTACCGCTGGAGATGGCCTGGCTAAAATCGAGGCTGATCTAGCTAAACTCAACATCAAGACGCAGATTGATGTCACCAAACCCGTGCCATTCAAACAAGAATCATCCGTGGTTTTCATCTGTGTCGACGTCGAAGCCTACGAGAAAAATCACAGACTCATTACGGAAATCGGAATCGCCACTCTTGATACCGCAGATATCGCGAACGTCGTCCCCGAAGACCGCGGCACCAACTGGTTCTCAGCCATCCGCGCTCGCCACTTCAGAGTAAAAGAGTTTGGCCATCTGAACAACACAGAATACCTCCAAGGCTGCGCCGACATGTTCCGCTTTGGGTAAGTAAACAACCCCCCCTCGACCAACACAACTCTAACAAAGCACACAGGACAAGCGAATGGATCAAAATCGCCGACGCCCCCAAATCCGTCGCCGACTGCTTCAAGGCCCCCTTCTCCAACCCCCTCTCCCCCTCCCCCATTGACCCCTTCGAAAAGCGCAAAATCGTGCTCGTCGGCCACGACCTCCCCGCCGACATCGCCTTCCTCCGCCAACTCGGCTACGACCCGGGCAACCTCTCCAACCTCCTCGAATGCACCGACACCACTCACATGTACCGTGCCTTTCGGCAAGAGCCGAACAATAGTGGGCTGGGGAAGGTGTTAGCCGACCTCGATATCGCGGGGTGGGACCTTCATAATGCTGGTAATGATGCGGTGTACACGCTGCAAGCTATGGTGGCTATTGCTGTCAAATCACTGGTTGAGAAGCAGGGGTTTAGGGAGAGGGAGAAGGAGGTTATCGAGAAGAAGATTAAGGAGGCTATGGAGGCAGCGGCGGAGGTTGTGAGGGAGAATAAGGAGGGGTGGAGCTCGGGAGGGGAGGATAGCGATGGGGGTGTTCCGGGGCCGCCGCTGGGGGAGGAGAATACGCAGCAGCAGCAGTATGGATCACCGGGGGCGAATAGGAAGGAAAATTCTGCGCGTGGGGGGGCGAGTTATGGCGCTGCGAGGGGGATGAAGTCGTCGTGGAGACGGAGGGGTGGTTCGAATCCGGCTCCGGTTCGTAAACCGGAGAGGGAGGATCGCGACGTCTTTGTTCACCAAGGTTCTTCATGGTGGTAGTCGTGGAGTTTCACGTCAGGCAGTAATCGTTGATTTTCAGCCACGGTAGCTATTTTAAACTGTATCATACATAGCACCACGGGATTGCCGAAAGCGGAGCTCAGTCACGGAGATAGCACTATTCGAGACTTGTAGAATGGACAATGCAACAGCCTGATATTATTATCACCAAAGTAAACCAGTTCACCTATAAGCTATCAACGCGCACCAACCCCCTTTTCATCCCACAAAAGGCACAAATAAACACCCCACGCACACCTCCACCTCCATACCAATAACACCATAAAGCACAACCCCCCTAAACATCCACATCCCCCACAACCCCCAACGCAACCCCACTAACCACCACAGCCGCCACCCAAACCCCCGCATACGCCACCGCACCACACGCCTCCACGCCCCCCAACCCCATAACAAGGGCAAACGTATTCGCCCCCCCCAACCCGGCCAGAATCGCCGTGCGCCTCAGCACCTCCTTCATCCTCTCACTATACCCACAGAGGTTATACCTCACATGCTCCCCCAGCCCCGCATTCACAGCATCGAATTCCGGTTTCGTAGTTGAGAGACCCGAGGTCGAGGGCGCGAGGATGAAAGACCGTGCTGCGAGACCGGAGATGAGGGTGAGTGGGAGGAGGGAGATGAAGGTTGAGGTGTGCGCGGCGGCCACGGAGGTGAGGGCGTTGAAGTGTGTTACGAGTGTGGTGGGGAGGAAGGTGGCGTAGGAGATTGAGAGGACGAGGCTGTGTATGCAAGCCACGAGGAGGGTAGTGAGGATTTTCGCGCCCCCTTCTTGTTCTGGTGCTTCGGCGGTGCGGCGCGTTTTGGGGGGCGGGATGAGCGCGATGGGGAGGGTGGTGGAGAGTATCGTGATCACAAGAGAGAGGATTGTCGACGGCGCAGGGACGTTGTAAAAGTAGTGCAACAGGAACAACACCGGGCCCTGGGAAAACAGCGACAGGGCAGCGACTTCAGAAGCGCTGTAGCCGTTACACCACGCTATTCCTAGCTCAATCCTGTATCAATCATCAGCACCACCATCCTATCCACGCGCCCTCCTTACAGAGAAGAAGAAGCAAAAAGAAGAGAGAAATACTCACGATCTCCACCCCACCACCGCACCAAGCTCCCCCCACCCCTCCGCCCGCCGCGCAACACTCCCCACCTCCCCATCACCAAACTGCGTCGCGAGCGCGTGCAAGACTGTTGAGATAGCCAACCCCATTATCGCGAGAGCGGGGAGCCGGATCGCAGGCGAGAGAGGCGCTCCGGCGCGCAATTCTTCTGCTGATGCTGTTGGGGCGATGGGCGCGGAGGATGTGCGTTGCGCGACTGTGGTGCTGGATTTGGGAGCGCGAGGTGTGGATGAGGTCGCCTTGGAGGCTGGAGCCGTGGCAGCTAGGTCGCCTTTGCGGGTTCGCATGTTGTTGGTGGTTTTCAGATGTTTCCGGGATTGGGAGATTGGAAGGCCGAGGGGGGTGTTCTTTATCGCTCGTGTTTCTTTGTGTCGTGTGCGCGCACCGTTGTTGAAGGAGGTTGGTTGGTGGTGCGGGGGATGGGCAGGGCTGGGGGGGGAGGTAAATAAACGAGTGACGTCGTGGCGGCGGGTATGATACGGGAGTCCCTCCGACAACTGCTAGGGCGGGGGGAGTAACGACGTAATTGGCAGGAACTGTTTTTAAAAAAAATTCTGGCCAAGCAACAAAAACTTACTGGAGCATGCGACGATCGGGTGTGTTTGACGTGTAGATCTGGGGATTTTTTTTTTATCTAACGTCGGTTTGACGCGTCATTGGGATTTTGGGATATCTATTGGTATTTTGGGGATTCGATTTGGTTACGTGACTGATGTGCGCCTTGGATTTTGTATGCATCTTGGGTGACTATGGGGATGGGATGCTGGAATCAGACTAATATGCAGCTGATGGCAGAAGCAGTAGCACGCAAACAAATCAGGTCCCTCGTCCCTCGAAACGCGGTGTGAACGCGCTCGTAAGACGTGAGAATGAGTCATTGGTCATAGTCATGTTATTAATATCTCGATTGCTTCAACATAATCGTTTATAGATGTGCCCCAAGGGATCTGACGGCGCGCACCCTCGCCCTCGCCGCCCCCCTCACCAAGAAGCCCCCTTCCATCCTGCCCGCCCCCACGGCTCGCGAGTCTCCCACTTCAACCGATGGCTAATGATAAGGATTTCCATATCCGGTACTGAGAGAATTTTTCGCCCGCGAGCGCGCTGCGGCAAAAAAAGGGTGTGTGGTTAAGACGCAATAAGGAAATCAGTTTGATTCACAAGTCCCTGGCGCCCGCTATAACACAATAGTTCTCCGCACCTCCGCTATTCCTCCATGCGGCCGAATACGCCGTCGTCGTCTTCGTCGCTGCGGCCACGAGAGCGCAAGTCGTAGTCGTCGTCATCTGCGACGCTCTCCTCGCTCTCATCCATCTTGACGTCGCCGTCGTGCTGCTCACGTCCGCGGATATAGCTTGTGGGCGCTGAGCCCTGGTGGTTGGGCGTCAGCGTCGTGCCGGAGAAGCCCTGGGCGAGGTACCTCGCTGGGAGCGGAGGTACCGGCGGTACATCTGGTGGGAGGGTGACGGGCCCAGTTCTAGGCGTGCCGAACGAGCAGCTGAGCAGCTCCACGGCCGCTGCTAGGCCAGCTTCGTCTTCTAGGCCGCCAGCGCTGATCCCAGATGATCGTGGGCGGCCGCTGTGGCTCTGTTGGCCGAATGAGCCGAACGCGGATCCGTTGGAAATGCTTCCTAAGTGGAGCCCGTTTGATGGTGCGGATTGGTAAGAGCGGGAGTAGTTGTTTCCGCTGCTGTATCGCTTTGTGTGGCCCGCGAACGAGCTGCCAATGTACGACTGGCCGTATGTTGCCTCGGTCTGAGGCGGAGGTGTGGTGTCAGTAGAGCTCAGGCCGTCGCGCGGGTCGAAGGACCCTGATGCGGCTGGCGATGCAGAGTCTTGGTCGGAGTTGAAATCCTTCGCGGATGGTGGTGGTGTTGGCCCGTCTTGGTTCATGGCGACCAGAACCGATGCTGCTTCGAGCAGTTGGACCTGCTGGTGCTTTGAAATCAATAGTTTCGAGGTGTACGACCATTCTGGTGTGTGTTCCCATCTGCAGCAAAAAGTCATGTCAGCAACAATTGATGGCTCGTCAACAATTTCAGGGAGCGAGAAGGGACCCGCAGCATATTGCAGCTGCGGCGAGAGATCAAGGGCGGGAGCAGGACGGAGGGCACGAACAAATGTTTTGTTAGACAACTGCTGTGCTTGTACCCCTTCCCGCACTTATCACATCTCAAGTCGTTCTTCTTCCCATCGCTCTTGACCGAGGATTGACCCTCGCTAGCGCGCCTCATCCGCGCCTTGTTGAAGCTATCACCCTCGTCGTCCATCTCGTCGTTCTGCTCGTCATCGATCGCGCTCTCGTCGCGCTCGGCCTTGCGACCCGCCATGAGCGACAGCCGATGCCCGGGGAGACTACTCGGCGGCGTCGCGAGGCCAGCGAACTTGGAGCCGCCGGACCGCGACGTTGTGTGCCGCCGTGATGACGCGGTCGGCATAGGCGCCGACAATGTGGCCTCTCCCATCTCCCGAACTGCTGCGGCCACGGCGGCCGCATTGGCGGAGCCGCTCTTCCTTCGTGTGACGCGGTGTGTCGGGATCAGCGAGCCGGCGGAGATGGAGTGTGAGTGGCGAGGGTGACTGCTTCGCACGGGTAAGCTGGAGCCCAGGGCGGAAGATATCGAGAGTCGGTGTTGGCCGAGAGGCCGAGCTGGGTGTTGGATGTCCTGTAGTAGCCATTGATCAGTATGGGCGGATTGCAAGGTGAAGTGCGGTGCGGTGCGGTGGAATTTGGTGACAAATTGCAGTGGGAGATCAGGGAAAGCTGGGCTTGCATACCTTGGAGGAGGCCATGGCGGCAGTGGTTTATATGGAGGGAAAGTGGCGGGTAGTAATTTCAAGTCGATTGAATCATAGACCGGCCCTCAATCCTCGAAGCCGATTAGGTAGCAACAATATGAGGGTAGGGCAAACAAAATAGTCGGTTGGGAAGGAATAAAAAAAGTTGGTAGAATAATTGAAGCTCAGCTCACTTTGTGCTTTGTGTGGTGGTGGTTGGTGGTGGTTGGTGGTGGTTGGTGGTGGTTGGTGGTGGTTGGTGGTGGTTGGTGGTGGTTGGTGGTGGTTGGTGGTGGTGGTTGTTGGTGGTGGTTGTTGGTGGTGGTTGTTGGTGGTGGTTGTTGGTGGTGGTTGTTGGTGGTGGTTGGTGTTGGTTGGTGGTGGTTGGTGGTGGATGGTAGTGGATGGTACTGGGCTTGTGGTTTCATATGGTGGCAGGTGAGTGGTGGGCAGGTGAGATGAGTGAGATGGAGAGAGATGGGTGAGATGAGTTGTAGGTTGTAGGTGGTAAGGGTGGTAAGGGTGGTAAGGGTGGTGGTACTCTAGGTGTTGATGGCTAGATTAGAGGAGTTGGTGGGGGGGGATGTGGATGGATGGGGGGGATGTGGATGGATGGGGGGGATGTGGATGGATGGATGGGATGTGGATGGATGGGATGTGGCTGTAAGTATTGGATGGCAGTGAACACAGTATGGAGATACAAGAGTACGGCGGGGTACAAGGTACAGTACATTATAATTGAGGGTAAATTGTCAATTGTGTCCTTACCGTCGGCCGTGGCACCCACCCATGTTCTGTCCACATGTACGGAGTACTGCACGACGCCGTATAGGGTTATAAGGGTTTTCCTCCCATTCTAGTCACACACCCCACACTCCCTCCACATAAAGACAGATAAATTGCCAATATCCCAATATCCCAATATCCCAATATCCCAATATCCCAATATCCCAATATCCCCTCCCCGTTTGGTCTAGTGCGGATGTAGATGATGTAAATGGGGAGCGGGGAAGCTGGCTGGGACCTGGGGGGCGACGGGGTGGTCCAATGATGCATCCTGTGACCAAAACCGATGGCGAGATGGTAAGTACACGAGGAGAGGAGAGGAGGCTTGGCTACCTTTAGCCGTTTTATGGGTGCTTGGATCTAGGTAGAAGATAACAACCTCCTCTCTCATCTAGCCCCTCTAGCCCTTCCCTTCTAGCCCCTCTCATCTAGACCCTCTCATCTAGATTCTAGCCCCTCCCATCTAGACCCTCAGCACCACCAGATCACCTCACCATATCACCCCACCATATCACCTCACCAGATCACCTCACCTCATCACCTCACCTCATATCCCTCTAAACACAAATCATAACCCCTCCCCATGGCCACGGCGCCAAAAACCATCGGCCGCGGCGGCGCGGGGAATTTCAGATCCCCCACCGATCAACGGCCCGCAGAGACACCTGATACGCCAGATACGCGCACCGTCAACCCGCAGCTCTCATCTATACGCAGTGGGCGCGGGGGGGCGGGGAATATCAATCCCTCCTCCTCTACCCCCTCCATCTCCGGACCCGGCGCGGTGAAATCAGCAGATCCGGCAGCGATGGTAGGAGAAGCGCCCAAATCGGCAGCGAAGGAGGTGGTGTATGGAGGGCGCGGAGGAGCGGGGAATTGGAAGGTCGGGAGGGAGGGGGAGGAGGAGAGGCAGAGGGTGGAGGAGGAGGGGAGGAAGAGGGAGCTTGAGGAGGCGGTGAGGTGGGAGGTGGAGGGGGGGTTGGTGATGCCGGGACGGGTGTATAGGGGGGTGGGGAAGAGGGATGGCGAAGAGGAGGGGGGATGAGGGTGTGGTTTTGAGATGCTCGTGGGGGGATGGGAGGATTGATACCCGTAGGATGAGAATGGATGGATGGCGGAGGGAATGTGTATAACAATCATCCGTGAGGATGATTGTTATACACATTGTTTACGGGGAGTACAAAATAAAATAATTATTTTCAATGGTTATTTAATCTTTTTTAATAAATCACTCATTCCAAAATTGTGCCAAAGAGAAAGATTATATTAGCTCCGACGCAGATATCAACTCTCAACTGTTCACACTCTCTCCCTTGACCCTCGAGCCGCACGAGTACCGCTAAAGCGTCAAACACATGCATTACATGCAACGTTCCCAATCCAGTCTCCCCAGAAAAAATGTTTGCTACAAAGGTGTATTTGCGTGTATCTTAACGTCAAATTCCCACCAGCATCTCCTAACACAACCACAACGCCATTTTATATAGACCGAACGCCCATCACATTCTGAGCCCAAACTGACAGTCCACCCCCCTAATCCAAATCCATTCCATTCTCCTCCTCCTCCCCACCCTCAACCAACTGCTTCCTCCTCGTCTGCATCTTCCCAAACACCTTCGCCCTGGGCGCCACCACCTCCTCCTCGACCTCCTCTCCCGCCGCCTCCAACGCCAACCTCTCGCTCCCCCTCATCTTCGGCAACAAGTGCGAGTTCTCCGCCACCAACTTGCGATCCGCCGCCTTGGCCCTCTCCTTGTTCCCCTCCATGCGCTTCTTGTAGAAGACCCGCTCGCGCTTCTGTCTGATCTCCGCGACGCGCGACATGGCCTTGAGCGTCGTGGCGACGAGGTCGCGGTTGTAGCGCACAGGGACGTTGCGGCGGGCCGCGAAGGTGAGGGTGCTGTCGACGACCATTTCTTTGCCGGCGGATTTGCGGAAGGCTTTGGTCCATTTGAGTTTGCGGGGGTTACGCTTCATTTTGAACTGGGCGGGAGGGGGTTAGTGGATGAGGTGACAAAAGGGGGGGAGGGGGGAGGGGGAGGAACATACGTTCTTGTGGCACTTGCTGCGGCAGAAACGGAAGAGTCGTGCATCGTTGCGGACGAAGGTGATGCCTTTGCTGGGGTAGCAAGGTTGCGAGCAGAAATAGCACGTCTCGATTCTTCACACAATAATCCGTTAGTCCTCGTCTTCTCAACCGCATTGCTAAATTCCATGAGATGCACATACCTCATCTTGGCGGTTGTGCGGAGTCGTTATTGTTGTGCAAGTTTCTTCGACTCTTGCAACTGCTCGCCTGCTTCTTCCAAACTTTCTTGCCAAAATTTGACGTTGGCGCGGGTAGCGATAGTGCGATAAAAGCAGGGATGTGCTTCCCGGGCCGACTGTGGCGCCGAGGTTCGCAAAATTGTAGATTGGCGCGGCTCCGATTATTTGCCGCCCGACGGAAGCAACTCGACACTCGGGACTCTACGATTCATTACTACGGGCAAAAGGCAGCAGTTGTGATTTATTCGGAAGAGCAGTGAAGGAATCGCATATTATACAACCATGGCTTCTGTTGTCGCAATCGGCGTCGGTGTCGCAGCCGCAGCGTTCCTGGTAAGCACAACACCTCGGACCAAACCATCAGGGGACCGGAAAACTAACACCCATTCTCCCAGGGACGAGCCGGACTCGTAGCGATGCGCAAATACCGCGGGGGCGCCGGAGCCGTCGGAGCGCTGGGGAAGGCATACTATAAAGGCGGGTTCGAGCCTAAGATGAACCGCAAGGAGGCGTCGCTGATTCTGCAGCTGAGGTGAGTTACCCCCTTCCTTCCTCCGACCGCTGTCGTGTGTGTGTGTGGGCAATTCTGATGATGGAGATAGCGAGCGCACCCTCACGAAGGATAAGATCAGGAAGAACCACCGCACGCTTATGATGTTGAATCACCCCGATCGGGGGGGGAGCCCGTACCTGGCTACGAAGGTTAATGAGGCGAAGGAGTTTTTGGAGAAGACGTCGTGAGCGGCCTGGGCGGAGGGGTGGCTTGTACTACTATATTGAAGCATCAGCGAGGCGTTTTTGTTCTGTTACTGTATTGTACGATTTTGGGAGCCGTCGGGTTAGATGGATGTATAAAAACTCTCCTCATATCATGGTACTATCAATGTAAAGAGTAGTCCGAGGTTGGAACACAAGACAGGAGTGGCATTATGTATAAAATATTTAGGGATCTTGTTATTAATGGTATAGCATTGCTAGGTATATGTAATTATATCCATATATTTGTTGTGTGTTATCCGCGTCAGATTATTCCAAGAAAAACACGCAAGCCTCCTTCGCAATCCACCCATCATAATGAGAGGAGTTAGTTGATTCAATCCCGTACATACATGTAAACAACCCCCCTTCCTTAGGTCAGACACCATTTTTTGAGCGTCAAAATACTTCATGAGCAAGCAAAAGCAAAATCCAGAACCATGCCACCAGAAACGACGGAGGAGATATTACAAGCAGATATATGCTGTCGATTACAACCCATCTCTTACATCACGCATACTCTATCCAAAGCGTATGCAGCCGCGACATAGATGATGGTTTAAGCCTTGGACGCACCGCCTCTGCGCTTGGGGTTGTTCTGGCCGGGTCTCTTCTTCGATGAAGGCTTCTTCTGCTCCTTCCCCTCGATGAACTTCAACAACTCATCGATGCTGCGGGAATCCATGCCCATAGCGTTGCGAGGGTCTCTACCCGACGACGCCTCGGCGGTCTGGCCGACCGGCGGCTGCGCCTGCGTCTGGCCTAGCGACATGCCGGGGGACATCTTGATGCCAGCGCGAATGCGGCGGGCCTGCACATCCTTCGCGTGTTTAGCGATAGACACAGCGTTCTGGGTGAGCTGCTCGAGCCAGCTCTCCGCCTCCTTGGTGTTCTTGTCCTCGGCGCCGAGCTCGGTCAGGAAGATGTTGTAGGACTCGCGCATGCGGTTCACGGAGGCCTTGGAGTCTTGATCGAGGGCAAGGGCCTGGGCGAGCTGGAAGAGCAGCGTGCCGGCGTTGATCGATTGCTTGCCGAAGACGCTTTCGCAGGTGTCGAGGGAGGCTTCGAACCAGAGGCGCGACTCGTGGTAGAGCTTGAGGTGCTGGAGCATGACGGCCGCGTTGTTGGTGGTGGTGATGGAGTCGGGGTGGTTTTGGCCGTAGATGATCTTCCAGAGCTGGAGGGCGTGCTTGATGTATGTCAATGCGAGCTTGGTCTCGCCGTTCGCGTGGCTGAAGAGACCGAGGTTGAGATAGCTGAGGAGAGTCTCGGCGGAGTCGACACCGAGGGTCCTCTCGGACACGATGACGGCCTTGCGGGCGAGTTCAACGGCAGCGTCCTTCTCTTCGAGCTGGTAGTAGAGCATGGACAAGGTGTTGTACACACGTGCTACTTCAGGATGCATGATGCCGTAGATCTGCTCGTGCAGGGAGAGAGACTCTAATAGGAGTTCCTGTCCGAGCTTCTTCTGGCCTTGCAGGATAGAAATGCGGCCAGCCTCGAGAGCCTCCTCAGCAAGAGCGCTCTTGGGCGAGGCCTCCTTGATGATGGGAACCACGTTCAGGACATCATCGGCGGAGAACGTCATTGGTGGACCTGCTGGAACTGACTTAGGTCCCGAAGGAGAATCGGAGCGGGTCTTCTTCTTCTTCTTGCTTGAAGTGGTGGTGCCCGTGCCGTTGGTGTTCTCCTTGGGCGCATCAGCAACCTTTGCATGCTTGGCATTTGCTGCTGCCTCCTTGGTGAAGAAGTAGTCCTTGGAGACGAGTTGGAAACCCATCTTCAGGGACACCTCACGGAGCATCTGGACAGGCTTGATGGCAGCAAACCAGTTCTCCTCAAGAGTGTACTTGTATCTCTTCAGCGTCTGGGCATCGATCTCCTTTCTTAATGACTCAGGGGTGACATCCTTGAACGAAAGATGCGTATCAGCGTACAGAGCCTTCAACGAAGCGTCAATCAGGGCAACTGGGCTCTCGTTCATGTCAGTGCCTAGGAGGCAGTTAAGAAGGTGAGCGATGCAAGCGCTGGTGAAAGGAATTGGCAAGTAGCGGAGGTAGTTGCCTGCGATGTGCTTGAAAGATCTGGAGATCATCTCCTGGACGGATAGAATCTTCAGTGCCTCAAGACGTCTGCCATCGGCCTGGCCAGCAAGCACTCCAAGGTATCTGATGTTGATACCGCGCTTGTGGAGGAGACGGCTGAGTGACTCGCCATCCATAGGGAAGCCAACATCGCCCTCCTTCAGGTCGCGGACAAGCTCAGGTAAGACGGTGTCTCGCAGGAACTTGCCGGCCGATCTGACCTCTTCCTCATCCTTGGCCCATTCGGCGATTTCTTCCTCGGTCTGAGGCTCCTGGCCGCTGAACACATCAGGGTTAAGGGAGAATGCGAAGTCGGTGATGTCAATTCTGTCCTTGTCGGAGTCGGCAGTCTTGGCCGCCTTTTCGGAGGTTTCGGCATCAGCCTCGCCCTCAGTGACCGGCTTCGTCGCATCCCCCCCTGCCTTGGCAGCCTGTCGCCTCTCCTCCAAGCGCTCGTTAACCCACGCCCTCATCTTGATCTTCCAGTATGCCTCCACCAATTCTGGGCGAAGGACGGTCATTCTGTGAGGGTAAGAAGCCTCGCCAGCTCCACCGTTCTGCTCTGGGCTGCTAATCGCAGTTCCGTTCTCCTCCATCCACTCAATATCCAAAGGAGTGACTCGGTACAAATCAAGGACATATTTCCTCCCGTCTGTGCCTAACAGACCCTTGGTCTCAACACTGCCTTCAAGCTCATGTCTCTTGCCAGCCTTATCCCACACAGCGTGCTTCTTGACCTTCAAGGCCTTGGACAGCTTCTCGAAAACAGAGACGAACTTCTCATCGGCAGCGATAACCTCCTTTCCATCAACTGCACCATAATCGATCTGGTTCTCTCCAGGGTCGCGTTGCTTGAAGATACCGGGAACAATGCTCTGGCCAACAAGGCGCTTTCCGAGGTAATCAATGACGACGGTACCAGGGGTGAAAAGGCCATCAATATCGAGCTGGTTAACCATACGGACACCCATGACATCCTTGCCAGTTGCAACTCTTGCTGCCTCGTCACCGCCCTCAGATGCGAAAGTGCCGACACCGTCAGCACCGAAGGAGAAGAAGACGTTGTTGTAAACGAATATTTGGGCGTCTCTGCTCTCAGTTGGGTTCAGGGGCGCAACCTCGCCTCTGGCGACTAACACCGCGCCGCGAGCAGCTGCGTCGTTGTAGTCGGCAAAAAGCTTCGAGGTAAGGCGTTCGCGAAACACTCTGTCTTGAGCGGTTTCCTTTGGCAGCTCTCTCGTGGATTGGAACTCCTCGTTCCAGTCTCTAAGAGTCTCGGTGTTCTCGATGCCCGAAATCAAGTAGCTCTCCTGAGAGCGGGTGAGATCAGACTGGTGTGTAGTGAGAGGGGACGATTCCGAAGGTACGATCCAGGGGCTTGCTGGGGTAGAGTTGGTGATCTGGAAGTTCGTAAGAGGCTCTTTTTGGTTGTTGTATTCTTGCAGCTTCTCGAACGCGGGTTCGAAGGAGGGGGACAGGTCCGAGATCAGCGCCAAAAGCGAATGCGCGGCGTGCGCCTTTGGTGCTGTTCTTGGAGTAGGGTCGAATCTGGCATTTGTCGACTTGTTGACGTAGAAGCCGGAGACGTGGGAGGTGATCTGATATTGCTCGCCCTCCAACGTAGTCGCTTGAAGGTATAGCAGGTGGCCCTTTTGGCGAAGGTGGTATGGTGGGGGGTTCCAGGGCGATAGGCCGACCATTTTGATTGTCTTAGGATGCGACTCCTGAGTAGCTGGGAGCAAAGTTGATAATGTTCCTGCCGCTTGGAAGTCGTAATCTGCCAATGGGTGAGCAGCACCGTTGGGTTGAGCTACCGCTTCCTCGCCAGATGCTGGGGCCTCCGACTCCGTAACGGAATCGTAAAGAGACAGGCCCGACAAGATACCTTGTAGGGTATCTGTTCGGTCACCAGCCGCACCAATAAGTTCGCGGACACGGATAACGTGTATGCGCGCTTCCTTCTCCGTATATGGGTCCTCCACAAGCTTCAATTCCGACTCGGGAACGAGATCCTTCACATCGGAAAGTTGGATGAAGTCGTTGATTCGTTCTCCGTTGTGCTCCAAATGGAAGCAAGAATATTGGAACGTATCTGGCAGCTCAATCACAGATTGTCGGACATCATGGACTTGCTCTTGTGATGACACCTTCGATTTCGTCAGTTGGTTCCAGATTGATATTCCCCGGGGTTATTACCATAAGCTGCATCTTGTGTGGCTTGTGGGGTAGTTTGACTGTCAGGGAGAAGATAGCTGCCCATTGCATCAGTTAAATGTTTTCGTTCCAAGCAGCAGATGCCAGTTTCCAGCAAGCTCCTTTAGAGGGTCATACTCTCAGCACCCTGATCTAACTCTTCCTCTCCTTCTTGGGCCTCGCCGTTGGCTGTCGTATGACTCTCGGTGACGGCATTTTCTGGCTCTGCAACTACCTCTTGAGCGAGGGCTATGAGGTAGACGTTAGCAGCTGCTTATGTCCGACAATCTGGGGGTGGCGATGGGCAGAGGTAGTTGGGGTTTCTGGGGTCAATAGTTCGGGGATCACGTACCAGGAGAGTGGCCCTTTGTGTCATTAGATTCAGCCATGGTTGACCAGAGACAGAACTATGCAATTCAAATAAGACGGCAATAAATCAATTACCAGGCAAATCGTAAAAGAATTGAAAAATATAATGCGTATAATACAGCAAAAGAAAATGGTTTGGGAAGCTGGTAAATACTATGTCGAATCCAACGACATGGAACCTCGAGAGTAAAAAAAATGTTGCCGTTTGTTTCCGTTCCCGCGGCACTTGCGGGCGGGCCATCGGCTCACAAGGCCGCAGCCTCGTCTGTTTTGAGCTGCATGTAAACAATGATCATCGATAATCCCATGTTTTCCCATACCAATACGAGTCTTTAGCATCAATGCATTTCAAATTTTGCTAGTTTTGGATAATATATGGCATGCTTTGAATAGCGCTTTATATATATCTTCTCATTAATCCAGCATTCTGTACAAATTCAGTGCGGTAAGTTCAATCCCAATGTCTTGTTGACATGACGACACTGACTGGGAATAGGAGAGGGGAACATAGTATCAAGTCATGATAGGCAACTCTTACAGCTTTACACCGGTGCGGCGACGAAAGGCGGAGTTTGAAGATATTGATCCAGATGCAGATTCCAAGCATTGGACTGCCACACGCTGCAATCGCCTTCTCCGGTCCCTACAATCCAGAATAGAGCTATTGAAGAAAGACGCCGCACAGTTTATACCCACTGCTCAATCAACAGAGCCTTCGAATAGCACTATCGCAACTGATAACTTGGGAAAACGAAATAACGGCGCCCTGCACAGCGACAGCCGTGGCGACGATGGCGCAAAGCCGAAGAAGAGAGTCCGAGTAACCTATGGAGGAAGGTCTCGCCAAAAAGACGAGGCAGGACGAAGCGCTTCCGGCCAAGGGGCAAAACCGCCACCCCTTAAGCGTGGACTGCCCGCAATAACGAGACCTCCAGGAGAGATTTCGGTGGAAACACCAATCCTCACTAGAATCCGGCCTGACGATGGCATGACACGTGCGTCAGCAGTTAAAGTGTATGGCCTGGGAGGCCCAGCCAGGAAAGAGGGAGCCAAAGGCCGGAATACTCGCTTTGCATCGTCAGTTCCTGGGATATCCAATTTTCGATCGAGTACTTCTCTTAAGCAATTGCAATCGGCGATGAGTCCTAAGACGTACACGTTATATATTGGGATTTACAACGCTTTGGAATCCCTATTACGAACCACAGGACAATCTTACGTGCAGGCACCAGAACGCTCAAATTCGCTGTTTTCTTTATGTCTCCGCAATGTACACCAACGCATCCAGCTTGAAGAGGACTGGGAGGCGATAGATGCAAAGACGGCAGGGCTCAAGTCCACGCTGAAACGAGGTATCTCTGGCGAGATATACGCCCAACTGGAGGATATTGGAACTTCGGAGAATGGCTGGAAACATTTGCGCACTGTTGTGAGAGAGCATGGTGTGCATATTGTTGCCGATGCGATTTCGAGTGGCTTGGTTAACCAGGTATTCGGGGAAGCTTTGGTCATGCTGTGCTCGCAGATGGGCTCCTATCGAGAGGCGGAAGTGCTACTGGATGCCTTGTTGCTCACGATGCCAGACAGCGAGCCAGCCACGCCGTATAGTAGAATTGCGGATATCCAGGAGCTGGCGCCATTATTGGCACTGGAAAAGTACGTCGTCCATACAGGCCGAATGCCGGAATACTTTCGAATGATGACGGATATATTTGGGGGTGGAATCGTCGCAATTCAGTGGCTTGCGACTAAAGAGCTTTGTGGCTTGTGGACAAGAGTCTTTCGTGCTATTTCAGCTGAACCTGCTTGCCAGAATGCGACTGAGTTCCTCCAAGAAATCCTTCCGCTAATGCTGAATGCATCGGCCGGGCAATCGAAGAGGGACAACACAAGAGTATCGGTGGCAATAGGCACGACATTCTCCAGCGTCCTGGCCACTCTTTCTGCAGTTGTGATCCTGGATGAAGCCTCAACCGAGTCAGACGAAAATTCAATTACTGAGCGCGGGAGGAATGTTATCAATATCCTCCGGCATCTTCACATAGAATATTCGATACCACCGACTGAACTCAGAGGCCAAGTTAGTCTAGTATTCCTAGCGAATCTTTTCGCAACGCCTCTGAGGGATGCTGGAGAGGAGCGCTGCGAACAGCTTATTCGACTATTACAACAAGCCTGCCAGGGCTCTCGCGGCGTCATCGACCCGGAGATAGCAGAGTTTATGTGTTCCGTGGCGCGATGTTGTGGCAGAGGTCTATCAGGGACTGGCTTGGAGCATTTCAAGCGCTTTTCTCTACTCGCTGAGGCGTGCATATCAACTGGTGGCGACAAAAAACGGCATCTGCTACAGAATATTATAGTTTCGAGCGCATACGTATTCTCTCAACAGGTCCCGATCGCAGCACACTTGGACTACGCGGACGATATTCGCGCCAAATTTCAGATACATCCTGAGTTGGGACAAGGGAAGTTACTGGGCAAGCCTACAGCCGCCTTCCGGTGGGAAGAGGGCATCAGTGAGTGGGTGGCGCCAACGCCAGCGATTAAACAGACCAGACATGCTGTCGATCCGATTCGGTGGGAAGACTCCGAGGTTGAGTCACCTGTGTCATTTCGAAGGCTTCAGAAGCTTCGGGCTCCTTCATTCCCAGCCAAGAGAGAGAATGCCGTCGGTCAACGAATGGCGGCCCGGGTTTCCGACTTGATCCCTTCCAGTCCTAGCACCTACCGGAGCGATGGCACGGGGTATGACGAGAGAGACACGATATTCTCCGACATGACCCCTCCCCCGAGGATAGCATCTGTTTTTACTAGAAAAAGCACCGCGCTTAGCAAGCCTACGGGGAGCAAAAAACTGGGGAAAGTTGGATCTGGGTCTGTCCAACACGGCCACGGCTGGAGCGTCTACGGGGAGGCCAATGCCGCCAATGCCACCAATGCCGGGGAGGATACAGATGAGGAGGATGAGCTTAGCGTGTTCTACGTCCTACCTGACGAGAGAATACCGGTCATGACAGAGGCTCAAAAGAACAGCAGGCTCAGTATTGGTAGCCACGGCCGCCATTCGGGTATCCTGAGCAATGGGAAGGCGTCTCGGCAGATGGCCGAAGACGACGATTTCAGTGGCGACGAACTTAGCTTTTGAGGATCCGAGTCGAGGCTCAAAAGTATTGGTAGAGATGGAAGAGAGAAAACAAAAGTACAAGAGCAGTACAGTATGGGTACTAGTGCAAAGAATATAGTCATTTTTTCTTCACTCGCTTCAAAGTTCCAAGGCGGCATTTTGCATCCGCCACGATTACGAAAACACTTGGCGCACACAATGTATATGTGGGACGTCTCGTGTGGGGGGCAGCATACGGACGCACGTACTCGTCATTTCTGTCCACTCGATCATGGACATGTGGGCGATGAGTTGGAGGTATGGGAATGTGAATGTGAATGTGAATGTGAATGTGAATGTGAATGTGAATGTGAATGTGAATGTGAATGTGAATGTGAATGTGAATGTGAATGGTGATGGGGGAATATGATGCTGTAAATGGGTAGAAATAGATGGGGATGGGCATACGTAGTACTCGTCATATCTGCGTTTGATATGGAGAGAGAGAGAGAGAGTAAGTACTTGATGGGGATTGACGGTACTGTACATGATGTTGGCCACTTACCGTCTTCTCCAGGAACCTACAGGAACCTAGAAAATTAGCCACAGTGTACTACTCTCCCTACTAAGACCCTCACTTCCCCCCTATGCCTTGCCGCCGCCTCCTTCTCTCCTCTTTCAACACCAACCCTTCTCGTCGATAGACGACGACAAAACCGACTTTCTCTTCTTTTGCAACGCTTCGGATCTACTCGAATCTTCGACCGAGACTCGACAATTCCGCTCTTCTTCGTTGATTCATTATTCGCTCTTTCGATCCATTCGCGATATCTATCCCCAAACGATAACGACCTGAGACTCATTCACTCGGCGCTTGACTGTTAAGCTGGGCTTCGCTCGCGTCAATCAAGAACAAAAGAACAACAATCGTTACCCTCGACATTCCCGCGTCTTCTACGACACTCATTTGACTCGAACACTCGACCAAATCGCACATAGGATTCGTCCAACATCCCACGCATCGAAGGGAAACCCTTCGACAACCGTACTAGCTGCGAACCTGTCAGCTGCTGGCCATCGACAGGTTCTTACAGTTACTCGTCTTTCCCAGTTTTACCATCCTTACCGGCGAGTCCGAGTCGACAGAAACTTTTAAAACCACAACCATGTTCTCCTCAACATGGACAATGGGCGCTGCCCTATGCCTACTATTCCTTACCCAAGGCGCCAAAGCCGACGCGGCATCAGAGGCCATCCTCGTACAAGAGGCCGATAACGTGAGCGATCTCTTCCACAAGTTCATTTTCATAATCTGCGGTGTCGTGGCGGCGATATTCATAGTCTGGCGGGTCCTGATCCTCTCCGCCAAGTACATGCGTCAACTGGTGTGCCTCACAAACGAGAAGCAGCGCTACTTCCAAAGGCCGTACAAGAAGTATGCCAGCCTGAAGAAATACCTCCTCTACGCCCCGATATTCCACAAGAGGCACAACCGCGAGTTCCAGTTGTCGACGGCGATGAACATGGGCGTGCTGCCGACGCGGTTCCAACTGCTCGCCTTGACCGCGTATGTCGGTACTAACATTGCATTCTGCTTGGCCAGAATTCACTGGGACCAGCCACTATCCGTTGTCTCCATCGAGATAAGACATCGATCCGGCATTCTAGCTGTTGTCAACATGGTCCCACTCTTCGTCATGTCCACCAGGAATAACCCGCTTATACACTGGCTCGATATCTCCTTCGACACGTTCAACCTACTGCACCGCTGCTTCGGTCGTAGCTGGGTTGCGGGGGAGCGGGATGATGATATTCGGCGTCGTCGTGAGTTCTTACTTCCCTTCTATATGCCCACTGGCAAAGCGAAGAAAAATGCTAATCATTTGCAGGGTGCTGGTGCGATGGTTGCCATTACGATCCAGTCATTATCATTCGTCAGACACGCCTTTTACGAGACATTCAAGTATCTCCATATCATGCTAGCAATCTCAGTACTAGTTGGCATCTGGTACCATCTTAAGCTAGCCGGGTTGCACCAAACTAAATACCTTATCGTCGCCATCGTCATCTGGGCGTTGGAGCGTACGGTCAGGGTCCTCATAGTAGTCTACCGCAATATGGGAAGGGGCGGAACCAAGGCCCTATTGGAAGCCTTGCCCGGAAACGCCGTTCGCGTCACCCTCGATGTCGCCCGCCCCTGGACCTTCACACCTGGACAGCACGCCTACCTCTACATGCCCTCCATCGGCGCATTTACATCCCATCCCTTCTCCGTGGCCTGGAGCCAAGAAGAGGAAGACCAGCTCGCAGGAGATGGACTCGCCGGCAACAACAGGCAAGACGTCCTCGCCATCCGCAAGACAACCATGTCCTTCGTCATCCGTGCCCGTACCGGCTTCACCAACACGTTATTACAAAAGGCCGAAGCAGCTCCTGAAGGCAAGATGTTCACAAGGTGTTTCGTTGAAGGCCCCTACGGCGGAGCGCACCTCATGCGCTCCTACGGCACCGTCGTCCTCTTCGCCGGCGGAATCGGCATCACGCACCAAGTTCCCCACGTGCGTGACCTGGTGACCGGGTACGCCAACGGCACCGTCGCCGCCCGCAAGGTCCTGCTGGTCTGGATCATCCAGAGCCCCGAGCATCTGGAGTGGATCCGGCCGTGGATGACGGAGATCCTGGCGATGGACAAGCGTCGCGATATCCTGCGGATCATGCTCTTCATCAGCCGTCCGCGGTCGACAAAGGAGATTCACAGCCCCTCGGCGACGGTGCAGATGTTCCCCGGTAGGCCGAACATCGAGACGCTGCTGGATATGGAGATCGAGAACCAAGTTGGCGCTATGGGTGTCTCGGTCTGCGGTAGCGGCTCGCTGAGTGACGATGTGAGGAGCGCTGCGAGGAGCCGCCAGCATAAGTCGAACATCGACTTTGTGGAGGAAGCATTCACATGGTAGTATATGACGGGGGTTGTCGATAGGTCTTCTGATTGTATATATATTTTTGCTGGGCGGTCTGCTTGAAAGATTTTTGCCCGGGGAGGAAAAATCTACCAACGCTTTAGAGACAGCTTGATGATCTGATTTAGCGTTTTTTTGCGCGGTGGGATAGCCGCTGGGATTATATGGGATGGGACGGGTGTACGGGGGGTGCATGGGTCACAGGACAATGGTGAGGATGTTCTGGAGTTTTATTTGGGATGGTTCCGTGTGTGGTTCCGCATGTATATGGGTGTATGGTGTGTTATATACTGGCTACAGTGCTAGATTGCATTCATTTGGATTCTTCTACGCGTAACCCGTCCTGTTCAAATGAGTCAACATGACTGTATAATGGTCGATATGTTGGAAATTATGGCTGAGATGAAGGCATTCAGTGACTCAAGACTGTGGTTTTCGTCATGTCCTTGCAATTAGCTAGCTACTTAGTTACATATAGAACATAGAGAAATCATATCAGCTTATGTGTCGTAGTATCAATTCTCACCGGTTGTGTCATCCGAACCTATCCAATCCGTAGAGTGCACTGAGCACCATCCTGATAAGATAACATCAACAGTGACATGAGACCATTTCCTAGTCAAATGTCCAGCCTGTCGTACTTTCTGCTATAAAAAACCAAATTGAATAAATATTTAAACCCCCTTTCCCATTTCCAAAAACATTTTGTCCCGAAAAAACCGGAGCCTTTCATGAGGCTGTAACAGTATCGTCGGTAACTTACCTGACTTGGGCCATTCCACGCCATCGACCCCACCTCAGCTGACCACTCCTGCACCTTCGTGAACCCAGCCTTCGTTCCATCCTCCTGTCCATCGAACAAGCAAACCGAAACAACATCAGACCTGTCACTTCGACCTTTCCGACAAACGCGCCCTTACCCAACTCACCCCCAAGGGGACTTTCAGGGACCGAGAACTATTCAACAGACACCGCGACAACCGTGGAGGTGCGTCGGAGAATCGCCTGCCACTATTCAGCTTGATTCAAGGCTACGACGACTGCCTCGAGGATTACGGAAGATCGATAAGCTCGCGATTCAGAAGGAGTGAACTAGAAAGCTCGCCCAGGAGCTAGAGCTTCTTCCCAGATACCACACCGCAGAGAAACACACCGAACAGCAAGCGCTCCACTCGACGAGCCAAACCGCTGCCATGGGTTTGGTATACAACGACTACCTCTCCAGCGACAAGATCTACGGCTGCAAGAACTGCAAAACCCATCTCTCCAAGCACGAGAGCCTCGTTAGCCGGGTACTTTCCCCCCTTCCCTGCCCCCTCCTCCCCGTCCCAGTCCCCCTATCCCTCCCTACCTACGCGGTCAGAAGCTAACAGCCCCTGCCCCCCCAGAGCTTCCGCGGCCAAGTAGGCAAAGGCTACCTCTTCAACTTCGTCGTCAACTACGTCCCCGGCGAAGCGCTCGAGCGCAACATGACGACCGGGAAACACGTCGTGAGGGATATTACGTGTCGGCAGTGCAGGACGACGGTGGGGTGGAAGTATGATAAGGCGTATGAGGCGAGCGAGAAGTATAAGGAGGGGATGTTTATTTTGGAGGCGGAGCTGTTGTGTAATGTCACTTAGGCGGGGTATGGAGGAATGAGGGGATGAAGGGGGGATGGCCTGATGGGGGAATCGTTGCGAGGAGAGCGTTTGGGGGGGTTGGGTTGGGGTCTGCGGGGTTTGGGAGGGCGTATTGGGATGGTGGGGGAGGGAGGGGGGGTGCTTGGGTTCCTGGGTATCGATATGGGATGGGATGGGGTATTTGGATTTGCTGGAGTAGGATGAGAGCTGATTCATTGATGTTTGCTTGGGGTATCTTTTAACACACTCCGCTGGGACGGGGCGATGGGCTTTAGTTGTAACAGGTAGTTAGCTAGCGATGATATTTTTTCTTCGTATGAATATCATCTCCGTCATCCTGTAGGGTAGCCTTATAATTACCAAGTCTCAAAGCACCCAGCGGCCAATTTTTCTCACACCACGTTTACCCGCCGAGCCCTCAGAGGTTCCGAGAATGGGCACCTTCAGTTGTGTCCCATACAGCCGCTCTCCTGTCGATGATAGAGCCTCAGCCCCGCAACCCGGCCCCGATAACCAACTTAGCTCAGCGACCGCGGCCATCGGACGTCACGAACTATCAGTGTTCCGTTCCGCGGCGAAGGATTATCTAACTGTTTGTCAAAGAAACACTCCTTTATGTTACTCCTCTCGCCTCTCTTGTGGAAATATTACAGACTCTGAGATAGCCTCATTTGCCAACGATGTCGCCGAATACTATGAAAGCTGTGGTGTTTGATGGGCCGCATAAGGTTTCCTTGCAGGATAGGCCAGTTCCCGAGGTCCAGGCGCCAACGGATATCGTGGTTACGGTTTCGTATACTGCCCTTTGCGGGTCGTAAGTGCTATTTTTAAAGAGGCGGATTAGGAGATGGGGGATTGACTGGGATATAGGGAGCTACATGTGTTTCGTGGTCACCAACCCAGCCCTACAGGTGAGTTGTCTGGTTGGAATTTGGTGGGCTGCTTGTTCTAACAAGGTGGCATGTAGGCTTTATCATGGGACATGAGTTCACGGGTGTAGTCAAAGAGGTAGGCAGCGAAGTTAAAACAGTCAAGGTAGGCGACAAGGTCGTCGCACCCTTTACGATATCTTGGTGAGTATAGGAAGTCCATTGCATTGCTCAAGCCGTCTAACCTAAAGGATAAAAGCTCAGAATGCTTCTACTGCAAAAACGGCTTCTCATCCCGCTGCGAGGAATCGCTCCTCTTCGGCTCCGCAGCCCTGGACGGCGCACAGGCAGAGTACGTCAGAGTTCCCTACGCAGACGGCACGGTCGTCAAAGCTCCCGCAGAGATCGACGACAAGGTTCTCGTCATGATGGCTGACATCTTCCCAACCGGCTTCTTCGGCGCCTCCAACGCTTTCAAGAACCTCACTCCCGAGCAGGTCGCTGAGTCGACAGCTGTGGTTATCGGGTGCGGACCCGTGGGTCTCTGTGCTATTATCGCGGTGGCGAGCTTTGGACCGAAGCATATCTTTGCTGTGGATGGTGTTGAGAGCCGTCTTGAGCTCGCGAGGGGGCTGGGTGCTGAGCCGTTGAATTTTATGACTGATAAGGAGGGGATGCATGAGAAGATCAAGGCTGCGACGGGCGGACGGGGCGCGGATGTTGTGATTGAGGTTGTTGGGCTGACGCCGGCGTTGAAGACGGGCTTTGATCTCTTGAGGCCGTGGGGTACGATTAGTAGCATTGGGGTGCATAATGCTGAGGTATTCCCGCCCGTCTCCTCAAAGTGAGAGGCCTGCTAATGCGATTCTTCCTAGATTCCGTGGAATGGCAACCAAGCTTATGGAAAGAACTTGACTGTCCAGATGGGGAGATGCCCTGTCCGGTCTATCTTCCCGGAAGCTCTTAAGCTGCTCCAAAAGAAGCAGCACCTTCTTGGGTGAGTCGAGATACCCATTCGAGCCCAGGCGATACTGACTGACTGCAGGTTCATGTTCGACAAAATTATGCCCTTATCGGATGCCGTAGAGGGGTATGAAATTTTCGACAAGATGCAGGCGCAGAAGGTTGTATTCAAGGTGGCATCCGCCGAGTAAAGATCGTGGAGATTGGCCGTTTGGAACGGATATAGTTCGTCAAATGTAATCGTTGCACCTTTGCGAGTAGTTCAATTTTGCCGTGGCTTGACGATCCCATCGTGCACAATGTAGTAGACGACTGTGCTGTCATCGTGCAGAGTGGCCAGCAGCAGTCTCTTCTGCCTATTCTTGCCCCGCCAGCCTGCTCCAACCTCGTCCTCGTCCTGCTCCAGTGTGTCTGTGCTTCCGGGTGGCACAGTCTCTATAGCGTCAAAAACCTCCGCAAACTTCTTTAAGCTCCACTTCTCGTTGATGTGTGTTGGGAGGACCCATTCCGGCTCCGGACTAGGAGGAATCGACTGCCCGGTCTTGTGCTCAGCTTTCAGGATCTCGGCTTGTTCATCGGGGTGCACGTAGGCCCGAGCTGGAGGTATCCCGTATACGAGAGGCCTGGGAAGAGTGGAGCCTGTAATGGTCGACGTTGTTTGGATTGCGAGTTCAGTCCATTCGTGTTGATATTGAAGGTTGTAGAGCACAGTCGCAGCTAGCTGGTGAAGGTGAGCGGGAATGCCGCTGGTCTTGGACTGTTGGCTTGCGGCGGTGAGCAGAGCCTGTACAGCGGACTCAGCAGGAGGCCCATTGTCGGAGGTCGCCATGGTGTGGTTGAGGCCTTTGGATTTGTTGGTGATGACCTGAATAGTTAGATAACAGATAACAGCCTCCTCGGCAGATGAATTTTAATTCCGTAACTTATTGTCTAGGCCCAACCGTAGATTTCTTAGAGACAATGCAACGGATCAAGAGGGGTCCAGCTAGCCAATCAAAACTTTTCATCCCACCATGCCAGGCACAAATCCGATCCCGTTAGAGGACCATTACTCATCCACTCACAGGGTACTTAGCGGATCAGGTACCTTTCTGTCCCAAACTCCGAGATGGCGCCCAACTTGACAACACCAGGTACAATCCCACATGTACCTTCTCGCTCGCCCGTCTCGTCTTCCTCCGAACGCCTCCAACGCCTCCACTGTGTAGAAGATCCTTGCCCATAACCCGGCACTTAGCTTTACCACTTCCTCGAATCTATCGCGGCCGTTTTCCCCTTCTTCATGTTATTGTCTTGTTATCTCCTATTACTGTGACTGTCCAGCGCCTTTCCCTATCCAAACGAGGAGTCCCTATTTCCTCGCTGCCTCACTGCTTCGACGACAATCGGTGTTCAAAATATCAGCATTCGTCATACAATTGGTTCAAAATGTGTACATGAGTTGCTCGAAGTATATCCCAAACATATCGATTGATCGTCGCGGCCACCGATTGGACATATAAGCTGTCCCTGTTGGGCCCAAATCTTGACGAACATATCGCCTCCCAGCATCCTCTTCTTTCGACGACGGCCTGAATCGGTCGACTAGAGATCTCACCATCAACCGTTTCAACCGGCTTCTTGCTCTAGAGATAAGAGACATGACCGAACAACCAATACCCACCGCGGCCAATGGCCAATCTACTGCTGCCAGCGATACGACCGCTTTCCCTGCAATCACTCCCATCACGACGACACGCCCTGACAGCGGGCCGGAGAGCGCTTCAGGCTCCCGGCAGAGTAGGGCAAACAGCAATGCCGACGGAGGGAGTCCAGGAGGATACACAGCGATAGCGAAAAGGCTTCGAAGCGCATCCCGAACATTTGAGCAATCGAGCATACCAGTTGGCATGTGGTCTGCGACGGCTTCTATTGCTTCGTCCGCTCCCTCGATAGCTGATATTAGGAGAGGTAGTTTTGGGAGTGATGGTTGGACCGGCGATGGTCAGTTGAAGGAAAAAAGCAGGCGTGCTAGCATTGGGCGCCGTACTACCTCCAACTCGCTGGTTGCTAGGAATGGTACTGGCAGCGGGCTTACTGAAGTCGCGGAGAATCAGAAACTCGAGAGCCCGATAGAGAACGCCGTCACGAGTAGGCAACTGGATACAATCAGTGCCGAAGGGTCCGCGGATTCCCAGAACCCAGTCGTACAACAGAACACGGCCTCTGTGCCACAAGTCGGCGGTTCAACCACTGAACCAAACCAAGAATACAGAATTGAGCCATTCGACAACGGTTATGAGTTCCCGCCAAAGCACAACTGGCAGACATCTACGGCTATCGGTGCCAAGGCTTTCTGGAAGTTCTTTCTTACGCCCCTCGGTTTCTTGGTGGTCATTTACGGTTTGAACGTTGTTGCCTGGGGAGGCATGCTATTCCTACTGCTATGCAATGCATCGCCAGCGATGTGCTACCCTACCTGCGACGATATTAACTCCCCGCGAAGAATCTGGATCGAGATCGACTCACAAATCCTCAACGCGCTGTTCTGCGTAACGGGATTCGGCTTGGTTCCATGGAGATTCCGGGATTTTTACTACCTGATGAAATATCACATCCGAGGCGACCAGCTTAGCCTTCGCCGCCTAGCTGGCATCCACCGAGATTGGTTCAGACTGGAAGGATCTTCGGACTTGCCTATCTCAGTTGGGCCCGATAATATCGAGGCTGAGATATCCGCGCTGCCGGAGAGTGCTGTGCCATATCCCCTGAAGACTATCCCCAGCGCACCGCTGACAGGAAATCGTGCACCGGCTACAGCAAGGTGGAAAATGGACTTTTTCATCTGGATGTTCGTGTGGAATACGTTTCTACAGATCGTCCTCTCCGTGTTTATGTGGAAGTTTAATAGATATGAGCGCCCTTCATGGAGTACTGGTCTTTTCGTGGCAATGGCCTGCATCGTGGCTGGTATTGGAGGCATCATGGGGTTTGTCGAGGCCAAGAAGGTCAAGTCGATTGAGGGTGTGGAGGTTAGCCCCGAGGATCAGGCGCGGCTGAAGAGGGATCGTGAGATGGGGATTGTTCATTACAACAACTTGAAGGGCGAAAAGCCCAAGCCGAAGAAGGAGCACCATAACCCGTTAACGCACAGGTCTCTAAAGGGAGAAAAGGGAGACAAGGGGGATGACTTGGCCAAGGGTATAACCACTGAGACCAGCATGGCGAGTGATAAACCTTTAGCGTAGTGGGGTTTTAACTAGAGCGTTGGCACTGTTATCACAGTATTGTTGTATTTAGGTGTGTTATTTTTCGGAGGGGTTTGCGGTGATGCTTCTGTTCAGGATATGATACCATGCGCACATTATTATGTGCGTAGCTATACAAATAAATCATTTAATTGGAAACCTCTAGGCCAGAGACATATGTATAAGATTGAGCCATTAAACTTGACAAGTATAGTTAAGTTAAGTTAGCTATATCTTTTTATATTCACACTTTTATTTTTATTATTTGACTTGGAAATAATAGGTTTACAAGCAGCCATTTTTGCTTAGCCATACAAATAACTCGTTTAATTAGGAACCTCTAGGCCACACACATTTGCATATCGAGTACGATATGAGTAACTTAGTTCTAAACCATATAATTTTGAAATACTGAAGGTGGAGCAGGTATCTGGCTTACGTAATCCACGATGTGATGGACCCGATTGTAACCTGTCACACCTATCCGGGTGCTAACCAGCTGAGATCCCCCTCAACTCCCTCGCAACAAAGACAAGAGTTGCCACTACGCCCCTCCACGCCGGACGATAGGCATGTATTAGAACCATCGTTATTATACCATGATATAGAAACATATATATTCACCATACTTATCTGCTGCAAGCCCCAGTCGACACAGTATCTCTTCCACCAAACCACAGGCGACTGCGGCACCACAGCACCTCCAAGATGGCGGCCAAGTCACTCATCCCGTTGCTCGTAGCCATGATGCTGCTCACAGGCTGCTGCAACACTCTATTCACCAAATACCAAGTCCGTCCCCCCCTCCCCACCTCGACAAGCTTATCAACTAACAGACAACCCCAGGACAACCAATGCGTCTCCAACTGCGACGACCCCAACCCCGACAACCGCAAACACTTCGAGCAGCCCGTCATCCAGACCGCGCAGATGTTCATTGGCGAGATGGGCTGCTGGCTCGTCGTCGGGGTCTTTTCTCTATACCAGCGATTCGCGGGTGAGCGCGCCGAGGATCAAGGGCCGGATTACCACGCTATCCATGAGGATGATGAGGATGCGAGGGAGGCAGATGAGGAGAGTCTGAGGAATCCGGCTGTGAGGGTCCTGACGAAGGATGCGGAGGGGAGGTTGCCACTTACGGGGTGGAAGATCGCGATGTTGGCGCTGCCAGCTACGTGTGATATCTTGGGTACTACGCTTATGAATGCGGGCTTCCTGTTTGTAGTGGCGTCGGTGTATCAGATGACGAGGGGAATGTTGGTGATTTGGGTGGGCATATTCAGCGTGGTTTTCTTGAAGAAGAAGTTGTACCTGTTCCAGTGGTGTGCGCTTGCCACCGTGGTGCTGGGTGTTACTCTCGTTGGGCTGGCTGGGTCGTTGCAGGCTGAAGACGTCACCAAGCCCGCTTCGGTTTTGGAGGGAGCTAAGAATGCTGCAGTCATCATATGGAGAGTTACATCGACACCAGATGCTATTAGCACGATGATTGGAGTATTCCTTATTGCGGGCGCCCAGATCTTCACAGCGACGCAGTTTGTGCTGGAGGAGTTTATCCTGGAGAAATATGCACTTGAGCCGCTTAGGGTGGTGGGCTGGGAGGGGATCTTTGGATTTACGTTCACGGCTTTGGGGATGCTGGTCCTTCACTTGGCTATTGGTAGGACGCCGGAGGGGCAGCTGGGGTACTTTGATGTGGTGGAGGGGTTGAGGCAGATGTTTTATAACAAGCAGATCCTTATCTCGAGTGTGCTGATTATGATCAGTATTGGGTATGTCCACTCTACTCCCCCTCTTATCAGAGGCTTTAATGCTAACTGCCACAGCGGATTTAACTTCTTCGGCCTCTCAGTGACGAGGAGCGTGAGCGCGACCTCGAGATCCACGATCGATACATGCCGCACACTCTTCATCTGGATCGTATCCTTGAGCCTTGGATGGGAGCGCCTCGGGCCAACAACGCTGCTCCAAGTAGCCGGCTTCTGCCTCCTCGTGTACGGCACGTTCCTCTTCAATGGTATCGTGCAACCCCCACTACGTCGCTGCATGGTCTCGCATCCCGTCGAGGAACTGCTGCCAGAGGAGCCAATAGAGCATATCTAAGGCGGGGCATGAGGCTGAGGGGAGGTCGCGGATGACGCGTCTGATCGGGTGATGGCACGGCCTATTGGCACTGTTGACTTACGTACACACTTTACGAACATCTAGCGTGTTGGAGGGGTACCAAGGGGTCGTCATCCTACTCTAACACACCATCAGCCAATAAATCCTGCTCCTCCTCCGAACTTCAGATTGGGCGCGCCGCCGAATTTTGTTTTTTTGTGTTGTCGTAGTTTAGAGTCCCTTACATCTTCGCTAGCTCGTCTTGTGCTGCTGTTTGCACCACCGGACTGGGATGCACTGGCTGCTCGTGACGTCGGATGAGGCTTATGATTAGGCTAAGCAGATGGCGGCGGGGGGAGTAGCGTGACACTGTGCGCCGGCGCGAAGGATGTACAGTACAACACATCGCATATAACTGCACTGCACGTCTGGAAGGGCGGCCACACTAGGGAAGGGGTTCTTTTTTTACAAGTTTGACAGGTTTTATTCAACTTGTTGGTTGTGCACGAGACGAGGTGGGTTGGTTGAGATTTTCAGCCGCAGGGCAGGGCGGTTGGGTTGGGATGGGAGGGGGAGTGATCGACTTAAGCTGCACTTTGGGGCGGAGTGATACATGGGAGCAACGGCGGGGAGGGGGAGGAGGGAGGGGGGGGAGGGAGGGGGAGGGGGAAGGGGAGGGGGAGGGGGAGAGGGAGCTTATGGGGGGCGGGTGTTTGTAGATGTGGTAGAGAATAAAGAACAGCTCTCTTTTTAGTTCGATCTTGCTCGATCTGTTCCGCCGTTTTTTTCTCCTAAGACCTGGGAGTGGGTAGTACGATGGGGAGTCTGGGAGTGCACCATCACAAACCTCGAACCCCCCTCCATATCTGTAAGAGAGCCTTGACTGGACAGGGCAGTGGGGAAGTCACGTTATGGATAGATACGTTATGGATAGATACGTTATGGATAGATACGTAGAAGACTTGTATGGGTTCTCTTGGACCCCCAAAAGCCCCTTATTCTGGTGGCTTCAGTGCTGAAACCTCAGTTGAAACTGTGGCGGTTCCAGCACCGGCCAGAGATCCTGGGGTACCATGGTGGGATTTTGCCATTATACGGCCAAATACCACCGTATCCCAGAAGAGCAGCATCACGTGCAGACTCTAATCACGTGCATGGTCACTGCAGCGCACGTGATTAGATCATGCACGTGATGCTGCTCGTGACAATATCCCTCCCAACCTTATGCGCCTGCTCATTTACCTCCCAGCACCAGCACCACAATCCTCTTTCTTCGCAATACACCCACTGGGCTGAAAAAATATTAAAGATACGAAAAAAATTATATAAATATAACCACAAAAAGAAAAGAAAATAAAATAAAGCAAACTTAGAAGCCACACTACACTCTCTGTGCTGGTCCCAACTGTTGCTGCTGCCCCCCCCGTCCACGTCTGATACCCGCCATCTCACCGACACAGCCACCGAGTCCCAAACACTTTCTCGAATAACTATCTCCCGCTCGAATCCGCCCTCTGTCGCATCTGCGGCTTGTCGCGACTCTACAAACCATCGCACCCATACCCACGCCCATTGATCCTTACCGCCCCGTCGCCAGCTGGTCGCATCGCCGCCTTGGCAAATAGACCATCCAGCAGCCAGCAGCCAGCAGCCAGTACCCAGCAGCCAGCACCCAGCACCCAGCACCCAGCAGCCAGCACCCAGCACCCAGCACCCAGCAGCCAGCACCCAGCACCCAGCACTCAGAACCCAGCACACAACCCACACTGTCAGACACCCGCGAGCCCTCGTCGCGCCCGCACGCCTCGTCCCGTCGCCGCCTCCGCGCTTCAATGGCAGACCAATGACTATGGCCACCGCCACCGCCTCCGCGCCAAACGCCACCACCCTACCTCGCGACGACGACGACGTTTACGATCCCGCGGACGTCGGGCTCCGCGACAGCCCCCCCCCCGGCATCCAGCGGCCCAAGCTGGAGCCGTCGCCCAGCCCACCCGGCGCCGCGTCCGAGGTGAGCACGCCGCTGGGGAGTCCCGGCGCGCACAACCTGCGGAGGAAGCTGTTGAGGCCGGTGCTGAATCCGGCGGATGTAGCGCTACTTGACTCGATGGCGGGGGGGACGGCGAGGGAGATTGCCGAGATAGCGGGGCGTGAGTTGATACAGGCGCCCGAGGGGGAGGATGAGGATATGGGGGGGGGGGTGAGGGGGAGAGGGGTGTGGAGGTGCCGTTGGAGGGGATGGCGCAGGCGGTGGACTTGGAAGCGCTGGCGGCGGGAGCGCTGAGAGCGTTTAATGCTGGGGAAGTGCCTGCTGCGAAACCGAGCCATGCGGAGGAGGTGGGGGGACAGGTGGACGGCCACCAGCGGCATATGTCGTCTCCCAAGATATCCACTATAAACGGGAATCATGAACATCTCGCGCCGATCCAGGAGGCGTCCCCGAAGGCCGAGAAGCTGACGAACGTTACCCTGCCGTCGATCTCGTCGCAACTAGGCAATCTAGGTGAGCTCAAGCATCTGGCAGATGCCGCTATCACAGCAGCTGTCGATACAGCCCCTCCCAACGGCCACCGCCACTCGATATCCATCCAATCTCCGCTGCAAACGCCTCTCTTCCGTGTAGGCGACCCAGCCCACCACCACCCACCAAGCCAGGTTCACACCTCACCACCACCCATCTCCCCGCACGAAAGCTTCCACACCATCCCCTCGCCCGGCCTGCCCGCGCCCCCATTCTTCTTCCGGCGCCAATCCCAAGTCTCATACACCAGCGGCGGCGACTTCGCAGGGAATGTAGCGGATGCACCAACCACCGATCACTCCGGGTCGGCACCCAACGGGATCCCGGCCGGCATCGACCGCATGAGCATCGACGGCATCACGAACCCCCTCGTCGGCGGATTCCAATGCTCGTACCCCGGCTGCACGGCCCAGCCCTTCCAGACGCAGTACCTGCTCAACTCGCATGCGAACGTGCATTCGCAGAACCGGCCGCACTATTGCCCCGTGAAGGGGTGCCAGAGGAGCGAGGGCGGGAAGGGGTTCAAAAGGAAGAATGAGATGATTAGACATGGGCTGGTGCATGAGTCGCCGGGGTATGTTTGTCCGTATTGTATGGATAGGGAACATAAGTATCCGAGGCCGGATAATTTGCAACGGTATGTTTGGTGTAATCTCTACCCGCGTGACAATCACATATAGCAAACAAACTTTTACTGACCCGCCACCCATAGACACGTCCGCGTCCACCACGTAGACAAAGACAAAGACGACCCCCTCCTCCGCGAAGTCCTCGCTCAGCGCCCCGAAGGACCCAGTCGAGGCCGCCGCAGGCGCGGCGGAAATAATTAACGAAATTCTCTTTTTTACTCATGTTACCCCTGTTTGCACACGGCGTTAAGAAAACCCCTCGACGAAACGCCAACTATATGTGTGGCCTACGATCGATCGTAGCCCCGCTCCGCCCCGCGATTAGCAAAGGTAGGGAGGGAGGGAGGGGAGGGGTTTTATGGAGTTTGTGAGCTGATATATATATACCAACGATCGGGGGAGATGACGCTTGTGAACTGCTTTTCTTCTTTTTTATGGAGCGGACAAACCCCCTAGTGGCAGCTGCTTGTTGTTGTTGCTATTTATTACTGTTGTTTGGCGTGTGTATGTACTGCACGATGGTAGGGGAATGTCTGTGATGTTTGTATCTAGGGTTGGGCATGTGGGCGATTCTTGGTTCTGAGGGATGATGCTTGGCATCTATCTCCTTCTTTTCTATGTTCATACTTTTTTTTTGTGATAGGAAGGACAGGCGACATAGAGAGTACTCCCTATATATTCTACGGGCTATGGTATTTAGAGATGTCTGGGTCATGAATTCGTGACTAAATATTCGTGTATCCACTAATAGATCTTGCCACCAAGGCGGCTCTTAACTTCATCAGGTTCCTTCAAACACTATCCTCCACCATCCCTTACTCCAACCACAACCCCCCCTACCCCTCCCCCGTCCCCCAAGCCCCAACCTCCACCCCCACCTCACTCAAAACCACCACCTCCACCTCCTCCCCCTCCCACCCCCCACCCGTTCCACCACAACCCACAACCCCCCCGGTTCCGCCAACCCCGGCGTGAGATCAATATCACCCACCCTAACCCCCGCCGGCGCATCACTAAACCCCCCTCCCCCCGACGTCGCAAGCACACTCTTATTCGGCCCCTGCCCTCTCTCCACCGACACTTTCAGGGGAGAAATCGCACCCCGCTGCGCGGCGGGGCAGGCGTGCTGCGCTACTATTCGCAGGCGGGTGATACGTGCCAGGCTGAGGGGGGCGAGCATGCGCGTTGCGCCTTCGTGGAAGTATAGCGGTGGGAGGCGGAGTGTTAGTCGTCCCGCGTCCTCGTTTTCAACGGGTGTCACCACACACTCCGTCGTCGACTCAATGCGCAACGTAAACTTCCCCGTCTGCCCAGACTCAAAAGTCGAGCAAACGATAGTATAATCCCCCGCTGCCACATTCGTCAAGTTCGCTAACGCGCAGCCTCGCCGATAGGACCCCGATTCCCCAACGATATCCTGCGATGTCACGGATGTGACGCGCTGGCCGCGGCCCCAGACTAATTTTACGTGTATAGCGAGGTCGGGGGGCGAGGCGGCGAGGACGAGGGAGAGGTAGGTGGGGGTGGTGGGGAGGTGGAGTTTGAATTGCGGATTTGAGGCGTAGGTGGGGGAACTTGCGTTGCCGCCTGCGGTTTTGGACGTCCAGGTGCCGGCGGTGGTGGTGATGTGGGGGTGGGCGTTGGGGGCGGGGAGGAGGGTGAGGGAGGAGGCGGAGTAGGCGGAGAGGGTGAATGTGTATTTGGGGAGGGGGAGGTCTTGGTGTGCGATGACGATTGTGTAGGGGGTATTGGGGGGGAGGAGGAGTTTGGAGAGGGTCTGCGGGGAGTCGACGTAGGGGCCGCGGGAGAGGGGGTTGTCGCTTAGGTGGATGCGGTGGCCGCCGGAGTCGAAGATGTAGAGACTTATGAAGCCGTGGGAGTTGGACGCGGAGGCGGTGGAGGAGGGGAGGACGGAGCTGGCGCGGTAGTTGTGCTCGGCGGTTGTGAAGTGCCGGCTTAGGAGGATCCAGACTGTGCCGCCAGCGGAGGAGTGGACGGAGTATTGGGGGTTGTGGATGAAGCAGCCGGGGCAGGAGGCGCTGGGGATGGCCCAGTTGAAGTGGTGGTCTTGTCGGTGGGTGAAGAGTCCGGGGTTCCAGTTGAGGTAGAGGGAGTCAAAGTTTCGCATCACCTCTGGGTAGCTCATCCAGAATGTGCCGGGATTTGTGGATGCTTTTGGAACAGCATTTCCAGATCCAGAGGCCTCATGGTCAGCCTCAGATGTCTTCTGATCCTCCGCTCCTTTCCAAACCATTGCATCGCACCATGGATTTTTGAGTAAGAAAAGCTTCTCGGCTCCCTTTTCCTTGATATCCAGCACCGCATAATCATGTTCACCCGCGAGACCAAGCGCCTCCTCTTCATTGTTATTCAAGCGGCCGGTACCAAGAGTGACCATTACATCTCCTAATGCGAATGCGTTCAAGATACGACTCCAAAGGTCGTTTGGCTGCAGCTCGTCACTAGTCAAGGAAGTCAGTGGTTTATATAAGTAGAATAAAGAAAATATTACCTTTGCAAAAATATCTGTTCCGGGATCCAACTTGTAATTACCCATAGATCTGTGCCTGAATTACTCCCAGGAAAGTCATAGCCCCCTCTCACTTTCAAATATGCCTTTTCCAAAAGTGCTGGCCACAGTAGCCCTGGATTTTGGCGGTCAAAGACGTATAATCGGCGCGAGTTCCTTGGTGCGGGGAGACGATCATCGATGACAACCTTGCGGAAGCATCCGTTGAAATGCAAGCGAAATATATACTTGCCGTTCTTTGACATTTCAGGAATCCCGTGAGCTTTGTCGTACGGGTAGAATATGCGCTCCAATAGCTATGTGGACTTAGTACGTGACAATCTGTCTGCTAGGATTCATACCTTTCCATATGTGCCACCAGGCCGAGCTACAGCAGCACAAAGGCTGGCAACAACGGAGCAGTCTGCCGTTACATCTTGCACAAGGTCAATATCAGCTGCTGCTTGCATTGTAGGCTGCACCCGAATGCCAGAAGCATCCTGAAGTTCGTCCCCTAACAGATCCTCAGGTCTCCGCCAGTCCCCTGGGGCATCAGCATGAGTATTTGATATATTGATTTTTGACGGGTCTCTGCTGTAGTCAGATGAGAAGTAATATAATGGAGCAAGACACGCACGTATAAACTTCCCCGTTTGAGGCAGCAAACTCCTGCCCGTCAAATTCTGATCTCCAAGGAGGGAAAATCAGCCCATGCAACTTTGAACCCTCTAGTAATATAACTTCTTCCCGCGTTGATAACTGTCGGCGGGATTGTGGCATTCCGGATATTTCGCTGGGCGTTATCACAGCGCCAGTGTGGCTTATTGCTGGTTGCCATTGCTCTATTTTCTCGATCTCTTCTGCCCTCGCTAAGATATTCATGCCCTTCTCTTTCAGCCGCGCTCTTTCAGAGCTGTTATTTGCCAACTTTATAGCTTTCATATAGCACTCTGCCGCCGAGATAGCATTGGCAAGGGCATCTTCCTTGGTTCTCGACGACGAGATGCGCCCCTCGGCTTCCTACATAAGAACCTCAATGGCATGATCATGAAATATGCTGACTGTACATACCAGAGCTCGGGTCTCCATTTTCGATAGCCGCTTCGCTCAACTCTCAAAGTTTCAAGTCAAGTCACAAAGCATGCATTCTTACTGCCACCACCAACTACTACATATCAATACACGTGACAACACACGTGATCATTGACTGAACAATGGACAAACGCTTTAAATTAGCCAAGGAAGAATGTCGGATACGAAGGGTGCCTCGCTACCGATTACTTTGTTTTGTACCTACCTCCAGCTCACGACCTGGCAACTCACCTTCCATTCTTTGATGAGCGGCAATATACCGCAGGTCAGTCTGTTACGAGTTGGATTTTTGTCTTCTGGCTGTAAGTCCAAGATCCATATTCTAATCAAGCCAGAGGGTGCTTTGAGTCGGACAGGACCCTGTTTTGTTGTTTGATGCACAAAGCTCACCTGAAACGAAGCTGACCTCGAGGCCATAGTGCAGAGTAGTTGAGAACCTCCTTTGAAGTCAGCAGGCACTGCAGGAGATATTGTGGTAATTTTTCGATATTTCGATAGCCAGTGTGATAGTCTTGGATTCTTCCTCGGACGAAACGGAACCCCATCCACGAATTACGATTGCATAAGCGCTTGCTTGCTTGCTCTACGACTTGACGTTCAATTCTCACCACGACAACGCTTGGAACGCATGTCATACAGCCCCGATCTAAATCCGGAGGCATCTATCAAAGGAGTTTTTTCTTCCAAATCTATTCCATCTCGACAGGTTTTGAAATATTAAGCCAGTCCTTCGAATTGAGCCTCGTTTCGAATCAAACAGCTAGTGCCTGCATTTCAACGTCGTTAAAGCTGGTCGTGGCAAGTTCACTAAAGTATGATGAATATGTCTACAGGCCATACAATGAGCAACCGCAACAGCACCCCCGAGCCTAGCAGCACGTCTACGTTGCGTCCTCCCATCGGGACAGGTCATCATCTTCGGCAATCCGCAGACATGTCGGCGTTCCCGACTTCGCCGTCTACGAACCGTATTAGGCCATCGTCGGACTTCTATGGCCAAGCGCATCAGTTGCAGGGACAAGACAATCCAGAGACCGAAGCTGCCAACAAACTTACACAGCAATGGATTGCCGATATCGATCAATATGAGACAACACTGGAAGAGATGGCTGCTGCAACCCTTGATCAGGACTTCAAGGATGAACTCAGCGCCATCGAACAATGGTTCAAGGTGCTGAGCGAATCCGAGAGAACTGCTGCTTTGTATGCCCTCCTCCAGCAAACCACACAGGTTCAGATTCGATTTTTCATTCAAGTTTTGCAACAGATGGGGAAGAACCATCCCATGTCCGGTGTTCTGTCTCCAGCCAACTTTGACAAAGGTATGTAGCACAGTCCTTCTCACCTAGCCACTCTAACATTTCTACCCTAGATCCGATGTCCAACCGTCTGAGCGATGCCATGAACAAGCTGAGTGTAGAGGGCTCGAGAAACTCGTTTTCTCGCCCATCTGCATCCACCACAATGAAGAGACACTCTGGTCTCGATCAGGACAGGATCAATGCCATGTTCCCAGATGCAGTTGCTGCAATTGCTACGGAGAAGGCCAAATTCACCCAGCAGACTGGAAATCCACCGACATCCAACAGGAACAGTGCGGTGTTCGATACACGCGCATCTCTAGCCGCTCCATCTATTTCTACCCCAGCTGGCAATGGGGGGGAGAATAATACTCAACCTCCTCTTTCTCCTTGGGGCCAACGAAGCAGCTCTGATCAGTCAGCCAACGCGAGACCCAAGTCTTCATCGGGTGTCCCACCAATGGGACAGTTTATGCAACCTCCGCCTTCCGCAGGGCTTCGATCCCCGCGCATTCAGAGCTCGTCAAACTTGCAAAACTCCACGATCAATATCCCTGACCATCAAACCGCAGACCTGCCTTTGCTTTCCCCGTACAATGCTGGAAACGGCAACTGGGCATCCATGGTTAACACGCCTATGACTTCAAATTTCAACCACGCGGCGAATAATAGTCAGGCTGATATGATCGCCAACGCTACTGCGATGAAGCTCGCTGCGCTCTCTACCGTAAACAATCGATTCGCCCTTGATGATGTCCGCAAGTACCGCCGAGCAAGGTCCAACGATGGCCATGCAATCAATAACCAAGGCCCATTGTCCCCAGGTCTCCCAGGTGTGACCAATGCCAACGTTGTCATGGTTAACGAGCATGGGCAGATACTGAACAGGGATCAGATCCTTGCTCTTCAAGGCCAGCAAAACTCCGCGTTTGGTGGTTCCAGGTCTCGCCCAAGTTCTCCCGGTCTTGCTATGCACGGTGCTGGCGGATTTTCTCACATGGGTTTTGCATCTCCGCAAAACAATGGCTTTTTGTCTGCTTATGATGGCACCTCTTCTCTTATGAACAATGGGATGGGAGGTCTTAACCTCAACCAGTTTGGTATGGGCGGTAGTCATGAGGGCTATCTTTCCGACCATTCCGACATGGTCAGAGGCCGATCTCCACGTGGAAGGCGTGGCAGCTCAAAGCCTCCGGAGGACCCCACTGACCCAAGTCTGCTGCAAGACATTCCGAGCTGGCTGAGGAGCTTGCGTCTTCACAAATACACGGACAACTTGAAAGACATGAACTGGACAGAGCTGGTGGAACTTGATGATAAGGCTCTTGAGGACAGGGGAGTTAATGCTCTTGGTGCAAGGAGGAAGATGTTGAAGGTTTTTGAGCAAGTGAAAGGTTTGTGATCATTTTTAATTGTGCATCGATTCTTCTTACTGACTACTGAACAGAAGCCAAGGCGGAAGGCAAACTTGCCTGAACAATTATAGTTTCTATGCTAGGATATTGCGGATAGAACAGTACTTTCAACTATGGTTGGGGTTTCTAGTTTATTTGAATTCAGGATTTGGTGGCAGTGGACTAGGAAAACAATGTTGGATTATCAGGAGAAGGCGATGCAAGCCTTATATTTTCCAAACCGATATGGTTTGAGATTGTTCGTGTATACGGGGCTATGTATTTAAACATGGCAAATTACTTTAGCTATACCTAATTTCCTATGTACTATCTGAAACCATTGATTTGAAGGTGATTTAACTGCACCCAAGCTACTTCAAACAAAGTTTGTAGACTCGGTCAAGTTTAATTATGCACTTGGCAAAGTAAGTCGCCGACTTGGTGGAAAATACACTTGTGGAATATGTGGGGGATAGCGATAAGATAAGCCTTTCAGATAAGGATTTATTGTACTGACGTCTCGTCTCATATCCCTCGGTGCTCACGATCACACTTCCACCAACATAACAGGTCAGCTACAATCTCACGTCAAATGGATGGTATCATTCAATAAAGATGCTACAATGATAATGAATACCGATACAAATGGACGGAATCGACGAAGACGCTGGCACGGGCCAGCACTCTGGCGGCCTTCCCAGAAGTCAATATCCAGAGCCTCATGAAACTCCAACCTTTGCATGGTCTGGTCAAAACGTCGACCACAATGGCGGTTCTCATCCCGAGCAGCAATTTCCGCTGAGGGATAATCAGTACCCTGATGATTCAGCCGAGTAAGCCACGCCTCTCGAATGATGTGAGCCTTTACTTACGATTCCTAGGGACGAGGAGCTACTTTCAGACGCAGATTCCGATTATCTGGATCTGAAAACTAATATTGCCAAACTAGAGGATTCTGTTCGCAAATTTAGACGAGAACAAAGGGATGAAAGTGCCGACGAAGATGAAGAGAGCCCAGATGAAACGCGCACGCGACGGAAAGGACGCGACATCAAGGGACGTGTTATTACCAGAGGCCCTCGCAAAGCAGCTGTCCCAACTGGCGACATTCGAGCCCGCATGGGTAGGGCATCCCAAGCATTTATTGAAGAAAACTATGAAGAAGCAAAACTGCTCGTTGAGGAAGTTATTCGAATCAATGCCGAGACACACGAGGCGTGGACCCTGTTGGCGTCGATATTCAGAGAGTTGGGGGACATAGATAAAACTCTACTGACTCTCATATATGCGGCTCATCTAAGGCCAAAGGATGCAACCCAGTGGTTAAGTGCCGCCAGGTTCGCCTTGGAAGAAACAGGGGATCATAGGAGCAAAAATCTCCCTTCGGCCAAGTTCTGTTTCTCGTCCGCCATTCGCGCAAACCCGAAGAATGACTTTGAAGCTCGATGCGGCAAGGCCGAGGTGTTGCGCGAAATGGGAAGCACCAGCGCTGCCATCGTTGAGTATAGGCATATTCTGAAGCAAAGGCCACACGACACCAGCATTCTAAGGCTCATATCCGAGGCGTATATTGATAAAGATAATGTCAAAGCAGCCTTGGATCTTTACAGTGAAGCCATAGACTTCTACAAAGCCTCTGATAGCCAGCCTGGCGAGAAATTTACCTGGTCGGACGTCAATATCTATGTTGAGTTGCATGCCTACCTCGGTCAATATGCCGATGCAGTCAAGGAGCTTAAATCACTATCACGGTGGATATTGGGTCGTGAGTCCGAGTTGTACTGGGATGATGTACTGGACGATGACCGCGAATGGGACTCCGATGATAATCGGAGGATATTACACCCGAGCTTCTGTCAGGGAAAATACGGCCTGTACCAGTATGGTGAGGGTCTCCCCATGGAACTTCGTGTGAAACTCGGATTATATCGTCTCAGATTAGGTTTCCACGCCGAAGCGCTTGTATGTATATTCTAGCAATGATGAAATCTCCCAAGCTAATTATTAGTCTCATCTTCACTGGCTTGGTCCAGAGAACGAATACTTTGCGGACCGAGTGCTTGACTATCCAGATCTTTTCCACGAGTCAGCTGATAGTCTCTATCAAGCCGGCCTCCCCGAAGAAGCGCTTGTATTTTATCGAGCGTTGAGGGCAGTTTCGAGTCAAGAAGACGCAAGTCTTTATTTGCAGATGGGCAAGTGCTACTTAAACGGAAAACGTAACAGGGAAGCTGAGGAGAGCTTTCAGCAAGCCATTATTTTGGATCAAGACAATATTGACGCCCGCGTACACCTAGCGAAACTGTACGAGGAGCTCAACGAGCAGGAGCAAGCTTTCATTTACGTCAACGAAATCATGAATCTAAGAAGATTGCAGAACTCGAAAAAGAAACAGCAGAAGTCACAGCAGGATATAACACAGGATAACGATACTCTAATGCCAACTGTGACCCGCACAAGATCGTACTACAAACCTAG